CTGACTCCCACAAGTGACCAAAAAGCAATTACATCTTGGATTATCAAATTATGGCCTGGTGAGTAGGCGAAAAAATTGAGAAAGTTATACACAAGGGAAACCTGTTTCGTTTCAAACCACACTCTCAAAATTAAGATTTTAAGTCCGTCTTCGCATAGCAGTGTATGCTATCTTGGGAAGTGAAACGTTTAGCTAAGACGACAGTTCTGATGTATCATGTTTTCCAATATTCCTTCCGTTCAAATTATCATTTTGACTCTCATGTCGTATCACTACATGCAGAAATAAAACGAGAATAGATAAATTTAGTAATATTAAGAGACCCTTATTTATCAAATCATTCTGTTTACAATTTGGGCTACCCTATGTAAACATTGCAGATATGCAATTGAATAATTGGCTGGTTGAAGATATTATTGAAGCACTCATTGGTGGCTTTTGATGGTGCTATCAACCAAGGGTTGGTCTGTTGTAGCAGCCAGAAGATCATTGAACAGAAACAGTAACAATTAAGAAAGCAGAGAAAAAAAGGCCGGCATGTTGTCGTCCATGCTACTTGTGCAGTTTATTGTTTGACTGTTCTAAAACTGATACGGTGTTAATTGGATTTTTTGATTTTTCAACGACAAACAATATTCGCCTTCGAAGCTGTCCAGCAAAATTTCGCCACTGTTCGAGTTGTATATTCTTAATCTGACATCGCTAAGATTCATCATGAGTCTGTACATTGTGAATGTTGAGTTTTTGGAACGAATAATCAACGCAAAGGAATTAACTCCTGTTTGCGCATATTTGCCGCCATACCGCACTAACCATGTCGTGAGAAAAGTCAACGTGAAAACTATGAATTCTTCATTGAAAAAACTAGTCATATATATTTCAAACAAAGTTTCTAAAGAAAGTGACAGAATTCATGGGAGACAGCTATTATTGAGCAATTAGATTTTTCATTTTTCAATTTTTCTGATCCTTGTCATTTTTCCAAAGATAACGCGGTTTTGTTCTTTTTCCACAAGTAATCCAAAGTAACTTAAATCCCATCACAGATTATTCACGGGTGATTTTCGTGAATGTCTGATTTCATTTTCTTTAAAATGCGGATCTGCTCTGGAAATCTCGAGAACATAAACCAAATTTATTTCAAAGTCACTGAAATTTGCATAAGGCTCACGTACGGAGTGTTTTGTTAAATAAATCATTGTAAACAAGAGATTAAGATATCTTAAGAAATAGTAGGCACAACCTCAATCAATGAAAACTTATACAATTTCCTTGTAACGTCATTGTTATGATATACCGGAAAAATATTCGATGACTTCTGCTCCGATTTTGTGTTCCTCTTTCAACTGAATAATTCGTGCACTTAAATATGCAAATATATATAGATATATATATATATCCATAGGGATATGAAAACTTGTGTTTAAATAAATATCTTCATCTTTTCGATATTTACTTTCAAAGTGCCCAAAATACTTAAGCAGTATATTTCTTTTTATAGTATGATATGGAGAACAAGAATTCAAAATTGTATCATTTTGACTGATTTGGTCTCATTCAAAGTATGTTTTTGCCCATCTAAACCTTGACGTTTCAGATCCGCCTTTTGGGAAAAACATTCAATTTTAAGATATGTCTCATCTGAAATTGTTTTATTACACAAGTGATTTTTACCAAATGTAAAAAATAGCCCTGGCAACTTGGTAATTAGCATTTTCTCAAGTTTCATTTGGTGTTTATTGGCCAAACAAACAGACGAGCATTTGCAGCTCGTAAGGAACTGCTTAACCACGTATCATTTGATTCTGTAAAATAGGGCTTCACTCGGTCATGTTTTACTCTCTAGTCACTCGAAAACTGTTCACCTTGTTAAAGGATGGCTAGAATTGTACAATTCACTTCTCGCATCTTCCATTTAGTTGAATCAAATGAATGCAACGCGGTGATTCATTATCACAGGAAGGGTTGGTATTCAAGCCAGAGGCGAATATCAACAAGGTTAGCAGGTTGGTAGAAAAGCAAGCAATTCAAGCTGACCTGTGACAAAATATGTTCTACGTTTGTTTAACAGCTAATCCTATTAAATTTATTCTGGTCGAGGATCCTGAGCAGACCCTTTTTTTTAGCAAAAAAAAAAGCAATCGCTCTCTTCTAATCAGTTTGGAATGCTAGCTGAGCTCTAATATAGCAGTGAACATGGGAGTCTGTGCGAAAAAGCCCAGAGTGCTGTGTTGTCTATCGAAACGAAAAACGCCAACTGGGTGAACACGCTAGTTTCAAGAAATTTTTTTAATTCTTTTAGTTTTCAGCATAATTCATGTTGATATTGTTGTCATCAGAAACTGGACAAAATTTGTAAATTACAGCACTGAAAAGTAAGCATACGTATTTTAATTGTAGAAAATAGAAATTCACTGAGCTAATCCAATAAAGGCAAATTTTTTCGAAGCAAACATTATTTAATTACAACAGAGGATATTATAATATGGATGCAAAGTTCTTTCAAATCAAATCTGACAAGCTAGCCAAAAAGTATGGCGGTAATTGATGGTCGAGTTGGAGGCTAATGAATGAATATTTCTGCCATAACTTTTTTGAGAAAAAATAAGCATTTGACAAGGAGCATTCAGAAATCTAGAAATTTGACGCCCAAGAATCAGTGAATCGTCGTCATTTAAAAGAAGAGGGATTTTCAAATTTCTTTGAATTTTGGCAGAGACCTAATCGAGAATAAATCAATTTAGTTTTTCAATCATTTCCGGAAGCGTTAAAAAACCACGCAGACATCCATTGAATAATAATATGTTCCTCAGCTTATTCTGTTCGTCTGCCGACTAACTTTTAAGCAGAATACAGATATGCCACATTTTTCTCTCGGATTTGTGAGCAAGTTCACCCCGACTCGGGCCTTTTCTGTTTGACTGAAGCCATCAAACACGGGCTGTAACATAGACCGCAGACTGTTCATGGCGCCCTTTAAAAGGCAGTGCTTGCGTTGCCTCAAGCTAAAAAACCCAGAGGATTTTCACTGAAAATGTAGCTAGATTAAGCCTATTGTTCAATTTTAAAAGCTATTTCTTTTCAAATACTCAACACAATTCATAACTCTTGACCCATTTCGCCCGAAAATTCAATTTAATCCCTAAGTGTATGTTGCAGGAATGAAAGCATGTTTCGATTTTACGGCTAACCAAGTAACATCATTCCCCAGTTTCGAACTTTGCAAACAGTAGAACTGCTCGACAATTAAAAAAAAACACAGGCGTGTCAAAAAAAAGTCAATTAGAAAGTAACATTTCATTTGCAGAGATTACGTCGTAAGTCAGTTTACGTTGTGGTCTACAAAATCATTTTTGGTGGACGTCCAGCGATTTAACATAATTTTTAAAAGCATTCAATGTTACCACAAAATACAAGGAAATTGAGAAACTGCACAAGGATTAGTTTCAACAACTGATGGCATGATGTAGGCTATGGTAAGGTCTTTTGGCCAAGCTTCAATTTTCTGTTTGCTACTAACTCAAAAGATGTCCATGTATCCTTGGGATAACCAATTTACGGTTAATTTTTTTTCGCGTCGATGTGAAGGGGTAACCCAAGCACGATACGCGTTCGAGAGTCAAATTCACAAGATTGAACCAAATACCATGTCTACCTACTGAATTTACTTTATCTATCTATGTTAAAGAACCTTTCAATAGGATTTTGTACATTTGTAACTAATTCACCTAGAACAAATGTAAGGTGCAAAGTTTTTTTCCGGCCTCAGTGCATTTAATTAAGGTCACCAAATAAAATCAGCCTTGCAAATTTACTTGAATGCTTTATTGACATTCAATAGAAGTTACAATGCAATCCTTACAAAATCCAAGTAACTTGTGAAACGCATAAAAGCCTAGTAACTAGAAGCTCCTTTGAAAACAATGGTAGCAGTTGATGTACAGTAAACAAAAATGTGAAAATTCAATGGGATCCACGGCTCCCACCGAATGTGGACATCCCTTCTTTAGGCTTGGTAACAATGAAAAAGCCTCAAAGAGATGCGGAGACGTTACGTAATCGTGCCTAGGAAATCTAGAAGCGAACCTGGATCCAACAAGGATTGTTAGACCTTCACATGATTAAGGCAAGACTTGAAAGGGATATTCGAGGAGGTCTTTAGGCTACGCCGGTAAAAAGCAAATGCATTTTCATTTACAAGGAGCACAAACCATGATCCATTGAAAATAGATTATGGAAACAAAAGCCATTGGCAACGGCTTTGCGATTGACAAAAGGGTCATTTCATTACGGTTGAGCTCGACTCCGAACATATAATTATTTACCACGAAGTAAGCGTCGAAATTCACTTCGACCTACTGAATCTTTTCTTTTTCAGTGTTTTATTATAAGTTAGATTCCAACATTTAGGCTGAGAGTATGAAGTACACTGTAAACGGTTCAAATTCAAACTTAATCTCCATAAACAACGCGCAGTGAATTAACTAGTATATGTTAAACTATCACGTTGTTTAAAAAAGAGAAACTTCGTTCTGTACACACATTTTTGTACACTTGGACATGCAAAGGATTCACAGTCTGTTGGTGTTATTTCATTAACTTGTGGTAAGGCCAAATTGTACACAAGTTTACTGCAACATTTTGACCTCTTAAAGCCTTCAGTTACACCTTTACGGCAACCCATGATTTAAAAGCGATAATAACGGTGATTGAACTACTGTTCACGCCTCCCTTACGTACCATTACTAATTAGTATTAAGCGAACCGTCGCAAACTCTGCTCATTTCATTTTAATTACCGCCCAATTTTTGACGTAATATTCAAAGGATCCTATCAATCTTAGATGAGACTGATGACATTTGTTTGTAGCGGCTGTCTTTAAGAGATTCCAGTGATATTCGAGCAATTACCACATCGCCTAAAGTATTTGAGTAGCCACGCATGACACCGCAAATATCGTACCATCGAGTTTAAGGTCTTGTGTGCTCGATGTTTTGCAGACAGCGCTGAAGCACCCCTGACCATTGCCAAAGGATGGACGTCACCTTAAGAAAGCTCTATTTGGGACTGTTATTGATCTTAGAAGCCATTAACAGTGGTTGTGCTCAAGGTAAACAAAGTTGTTTGTTATATCATTTCTTTCTCTAAACCACAGAGAATGGACACTGCGTTTAATTGTCCTTCTTTCTATGCACTCCGCGTGCTTACGTTTATTTTGCATGCCTTAATCCGTTATAAACGGCAACTTCACAGCCATGATATAAAATTAACATTGATCATTAAACTGTCAAGTTATTTTCACTCGTCATTTCAGCGATTTCAGTGATAGCCAGCAACTCCGGAGAGGAAACTGAAAATATAGAAAGAAAATTTACAAACCAGCTCCGTCTACAGCTAGCTAATAAGAACAAAGTGTATATTAGCTGACAGTACTAATAGGCGGGAAGGGACTCTTGAATAAGTTAACACTACAGTACAACGCTACAACCGTTCTAAAATCATCTACGCTCCTCCCCCATGACTGAGACGTGAACTTTTGGAGACCCAGGGAACTAATTTCAGTTTGTGGCATTCGGTGCTGCATGGTACAAGTTACTGCAACTTAAGTTATCACTTTTGACTGAAATGTTGTTCAACACTTGATGGTATCACTATTTGTTCCGGTTTCTTTCAACCAGCTTCTTTGAACTTGAAACAATAACTGTTGGAGTGTGCCAAAAGTCAAAGGGAAAAGCCGGAATGACCAGACGAAGCGTAATGACACGTTTGCGAGGGATGGAATAGCCATTAAGCTGTACTTACTATAAAAGTCACTTTTTTAAAGCATTTTTTTCGACTGAATGAAATTCATTACTTAAAAATTCTAGGATATTTCAAGACTGTTTGATTGGCCACATTTGTTGCAACAAAACAATATCCACACCAAGATGATTCAGCCATCCAAGCATTCAAACTGGGAACCATCTGCTACGCTTTTCGAGATCCTTTACTTTAAAGCCGCATTGTCTCGTTCTCGTTGTCTCCGGGTTTTCAGCAATACTTTCTTGCTATTTATTTCAAACCTTCTGTTTCACATCGGCATGAGTGAGTGAGTGAAAACCAATTTGAACCCAAGAAGAAAACAATGTATACTCTTTGTCACTGCTACCTTAACACTAATCTCCTCTATGCTTCAGTTTCTCCTTTATGTCAATTCTAACATCTCCTACTTTCAATCATAATTAGTCATAGATCATCAATATTTGTAGCTGTTGTTATCATTATATCACTAAACTTATTCACAGTGACTTTCGCGTGATAAGCTGGAAACTTGAAAAAATCACTTGATGCGAATTGTTGGAGTGAGACTCGAGACAATCCCACTAAGTAGCCAAATATCACCTAACTTTGACATCGTAATTGTAACTGGATGAGTGTAACCCGTTAATGACAAGTTATAAATGTCAATTTTTATGTACACACGCTTACTGACACTTGTTTCATCTACTGGCCCAACTTGTTCTCATAATAGTTGTTTAAGCTTTGAATGTATCAACAATAATGTAAGTTGACACATTTTATATGTCAGCAAACAACCGCGCCTTTATATCATTGTCGAGAGGGTGCAGAAGACCTTATAACTAACACTCATCACTCTTACACGCACGAGAGAGCAAGAATTGGTTATCAGCAATGTTCAAAGAAATTGCTCTCTCACAAGCAGTGAAAACATGTTTACTAAAATACCTTAGGATCACAGATTCATAACTACTAGCTCTAACTGTATTGTCTAAGTCTTACTTTTTAAATATCTCTAGGAAACCACGAAAAGGATTACGAACACATGTTGATGCGAGACCTTTTCAGAGACTACAACAAGGACTCCCGCCCTGTATTCAACAAAAGCACAGCAGTGGATGTGGAGTTAGACGTGGCTTTTAGCCAGCTTGTCGAGTTGGTAAGAACGTACAAACACTTTGGGTTTGAATCTCTTATAAAAAATACCTCATTAGCTAAATAGGCTCTTTTGCCAGATGGACAAGCACATACATTGTAAAGCCGAAATTATTTAATCATTGTTAGCAGAGACTGACCTAGAAATTGGCGACGACAAATACTTTACCCCCAGCTGCTATCTTTGAAAAGTGAACCGGCAGATTGTCAATAGATATTTGCAAAGTGAGCCTTACACAATCATGTTAAACAAATTTATACAACAATGAAAACGATGGAATTCTTTGAAGAAACAATGTCCATTATGCTGTCAACTTTAGTCAAAATACCAAGGATAACGATTGTATTGTAGCAGTTATATATGAGTGCACTATAGATGTATCACAAGTCACTCATTACTAAGAAAGCAGAAAAGATTGCAAAACAACATGCACCTGTAGCTAAATGGCACAAACATCACTTTTAGAAATTTCAGTAAAAGTTGAGGAGATTATAGTTACACGAATGGCTCCTGGAAATCTCCGCTACCGTGTTGCAACTAACCCCTCGGTAGCTTACCAATTAGGTGATTTATATTAAGTTTTGTTTCGGGTGATGAAGCGTTCTATTTGTGGTAATTTACAGGAGTGATCCGCAATTGACAAATGATTGTTAATGTCTATATACCTACCATCGCGTTTGTTATCAAATCCCTTGCAAGCTATAACACGAAGATTTCAAAAGCTTCATGAATTCCATATCTCAAACATCCATCTCTTGAAGAATGATAGAGAGCAAACAATTAAATCGTCACATGTGGAAAAGGAATTTCATTACTTAAGTAATGAATCCTAAATTTTCTTTAAGAAAGAATGCCGAGTACAAGTTTCCCCAAGGTTGAAAAAAATTCTATGAGGCTCAATAAATCAGAACACCAAAAATTACCAACATACCCTCTGCAGTTTCACGCACACAGATCATATTTAAATGCACCAGAAGCAAAGATTACGTAACGCCTACGATCGTTGTGAATCACTTGTTCCCAATCAAAAATCTGAAGTACAAAATGTTTCTCTGAACTTTCTCTCATTGAAATATCTGGAATCAAAGTAAAGAAACTGGATGTGAAATATTCTACCCTAAGCTAAAAAAGTAAGGTCGATGAGACAATCATAAGTGCGGCCAAAATCGCTTAGGAATGATATTTTGTTGTATTTATTTAACACAAGGACGGCAAGGATCAAATATTATCAAGCAAGATATGGATTCGCCAGGTAAGCCTCATCCACTTCTTGAAATATCTCGTTAAATATTGTATTTCCTCGGATCCCATGCGAATGAGCTGACTTCATTTTGTTAGTTCGTATGTAGATGATTGTGATGCCCAATTATGTAATGATAACATAGCCATAGAAATTGGGAGTTGGACCCTAGTCCTTCTGCCATCAATTGCTTGACTGATAGGTAATTCCCGATGTTTTTTTACTTGATTTTGTTAGAAATGGAATAATCCTTTCCTTGCATGGAAGCCAGACAAATACAATAACATTAGTGTTATCAACGTAGATCCAAAGTTGGTTTGGAAGCCAGATCTCGTCTTATACAACAAGTGAGTACGCAGCCTAATGCCAACTTAATGGCCAGTATGCTTCGTCATTCTACTCTTTTCGACAGAGGTTAAATGACCAGGTTGGTACATTCCTTAAACTTAGGGAACATAATCCACGTTGATCAAGAAATCTAAGCCAATCTACCTTTCTGACAATTATCACTCCTTTATAGCTTAAAGATCGTGATTAACCAACGTTCATTTACAGGAAGAGAACTTCCAAATCAGAAAATTCTCATATTCTGGTTCCCATTTCCATTTCCATTTTATCTCAGTGCAAATCTATCGAAAGATCAGAGTTTTCACAGAGATTGGGCACTATTCCATAGAGCTTATACATTACTTTAGACAAAAGTTTGCGATCTTGTTTTCCACAGCATTGGTATTGGCCAGACGGGAGCGATATACAACTTTGACACAAAAGTGGTCATATACAGCGACGGAACTCACTATTGGTATGCCCCAACTGAGATCAAAAGCATCTGTAAAATCGACATCACCTACTTTCCATTTGACGAGCAAATATGTCCACTCACCTTTGGTTCCTGGACCTACACAGGAGTTCATTTGAATCTGACGAATAAAGCGCCAACAGCAGATCTGAGCAAGTACACGATCAGCGGCGAATGGGAATTAGTCGCCATGCCATCAAAACGCAACGTTGTTAAGTACAGTTGCTGCCCAGACCCCTATATTGACGTTACGTACAAGGTTCACGTTCGTCGCAAGGTGCTCTTCTACCTGACTAATCTGATCTTACCTTGTGTTGTACTTGCAGTGCTAACAGTGTTTTCGTTTAGCCTGCCACCCGAGTCAGGCGAGAGGATTTCTCTTGTCATAACTATTCTACTGGGTCTAACAGTGTTCATGTTGGTGTTCACAGAGAACGTTCCCCGCACTTCAGAGGTGATTCCGCTGATTGTGAAGTTCGCATTCACAGTCATGTGCGAGGTTTCATTCGCCCTGCTAATCACGTGTTTCATCGTTAGGATTTACCACAAAGATCCTGGCAAACCCATGCCGGCATTCTATCGTTATATCACGTACAAGTTGCTAGCACCAGTCCTCAGAATGCAGCCTGTTCCGGCAGGGCATCATGATAGACGACACTGCAAGGAGCATCTCGAGAGGACGAAACACAGCCACTTTCGTCACCGCAAACCTCGTGCATACATCAGCAAACTGTTCGGCAACTACCCCAAAGAGACCAGCTGTCGATTGGAGTTAGATAAGCAAGGGGACGACATCACTGACGTAAGCTCGGGGACTTCGAGGCAGTCAGACCCAATGAAATGTCCTTCGTTAGATAAACTAGAAGACATAACATTTGGTTTGCACGCCATCATCGATCACTTAAAAGACATTAAGGCCAACGAGTTTAACAAGAATGACTGGCATTTCGCAGCAAGAGTGCTGGACACTTTCTTCTTTTGGCTCTTATTAATAGCATTTGTAATATCGACAACTTTGTTTTACTTCTCAATTCCATGATTCTAGTGCTTCGATGCTGGTAATTGAACGTAGTTAGCAAACCACAGTAAATGGTTGTAAACGGATCCATATATGATTGCGAGCTTCGTAGGGTTCAGTTGATTTGAATAAGTCAGAGTGGTGGATTGATCTTCAAGAATAGGTACTGATATCAGTAAGAACGTGAATAGCCTATAGCCTCAAAGAAAGGGCACTATTGGCAGCGTGGGAAAGTCTGTACACTTTTCCACGTACAAGATCAAAATATCACCTCTCAGTACCATGTGCCATGACTTTTTCACTCTAAGAAGTTGGCGCTGAAAGCTTTTGGCGTTAAAACCGTTATCACCTTTCCACCTGAAAATGTTGTGATATTTCAAATAGAAAGTCCTCTCTGGTCACTCCTGGCAGTGAAAGTCTTTAAAGGAGCAATGTTGCTATATTTTGACCTATTTCGTGGCGTTGTGCAAAACTGCTTTTTTTTTCAAGGTAATTACAGAAAGGTATAACAAAAATTGAAGAAATAAAGTTCCAACGGGGCACAAGAATGGCAAAGATTAAAACAGATTGCTCAGAACAAAATTGAAAAATTTAGGCGAAACACAAAATGTGATTTCGCTCCCTTGATAAAACGAGGAAGAGTTAATAATTGAGTGGCATCTTTAGAAGCCATGTGCAGCCTCATAAACACGACTTAGGCTAAACCTTCAAATTTACAACTAGTAGGACAATGTAGATAAGGTACATTGTAATTGAGCGCTTAATGTTGAAAGGCTTAGTATAGTATATAGAAACTAATAATTTGTAACACTTTCCAAGTTGGTGCCAAGGTCATAATTAGAGAATAGCATTTAAAAAATGTTTATCAGAGACTTTTTAATGCTTGCGAAACAGAAAAATACGTTGTAGAAGGTTGTAGATAGCATATTGAACACATAAGAGCACTTTTCGGTTGAGTTTCCTTGAATCCCAGCGAAAACAGTCTCAACAACCGATCAGAATTTGGGAAAAAATCATAAGGATAAGGAACCAATAAGAACTAAACTTGAAAACAAGGAAACTGCCTGAAGCGCGGGAAAAGGCGAGTGACCAAGTCGCGCTTGGTTTTAGTTTTGTTTCTACTTGGTAGGTGGCGTTCCTTTTCTGGACCAACAACAGGGCTGAGTAAACCAAAACCAATGCACTCTCGCTGATTACTTTTAACTCACAACTGAAAATTGCTCTATACGTGCGAAATGCATAGAAATTATTCGCGGTTCCTTTACAAAGGATATGTAGCTACGCCAAAAAAACTACTGGTCAGTTCAAACTGACCATTAAACATGTAAACCATATAAAAATTTTTTTAATCTTTTGAAAATGATCACAATCGCACATAGTTCGGTGTATTTTTTGTGTTGTAATTTTTTTAGTAATTGAGTTGTTAAAAATATTTTGTCGCTCTAAAATACTTGTTCGGAAGGGGTGGCGTATGCTTACCATGTAAATGGACTTGAAAAGAATTAAAAAATAGTGAGTTAAGTATTTACAAGAACTGATAACTTGTATCAGCATCAGTTTGTCCCTTTTCCCTTGACCACTACGAAATAGATTACACTGCCGCTCCCCGATGTCACCGGTCAACTTGGTTGGGCGTGGTCGGAATAGCAACTTTGAAGCAAGTTTTTGAGTGAAAACAGTTGCCTTTTATGGAAAGAATTCTTTTCTTGCAAAGAGTTTTGATATTGATCGGACAGTGCAGCAGTGGAAATACCTGATCATTCATAAGAATGCAATCAAAATGCATTTACATTTGGTCCTTTGTTGGTCTTTCAATAATTCATGAGCTTCCTCATTAATTTGCACAATCTACATTTCTATAACTACTACCTCCAATTTTCAATAAACTCCAAGGATTGTTTCACATCTAGGAAACATCCATGACCAAAAAGGAGAATCATTTTTAAGGGTGCTAATCTGTTGGTAATATAACTACTGAAAAGAACGCTTGAGGTTTGCAAACATTTACGATTAGCTTTCAAATAAATTTCGTCTCGTTGCATTAAAGTCCTTGACGAATTCTACCATTTTTGATAAAGTTGCTTTATTTACCCTAATTTTTAAGTCAAGCTTTTTTTCTACTTGTCTTATCTCACTGGGAAACAAGCATTCCTTTTATTCGCGTTGTTTTGAAGCGCGTCAACTTCGGATGCACACATCAAACGAGCATTAACTTCCTATGATATGCTAGCAAATCTTGACACTCCACAACTGTCTTCCGCAAAACACAGGGAAATGATTGCTGTCCCGACCTTTTAAGGGAATGGTGACCCTAACAGCTATTGGTACACTGCCTTTCTTGAAAAAAATAAATGTTCTGATTAGTAACAATCGCAATTTCCAATGTTATTTTATCCCGAGCTTTTTATTTTCAACAAGTAACACTCGTCACGCGTGTAAAATATTGACCAATTAAATTTGTCTTGATCCTCTCAGGCGAAAACCAATCAGGAAGAGCAATTATATAAACGGACGCGAGGTAACTTAATTGGGGTCGGGATTGTTCTTTGTAGGTAAATATTCGAGAAGTATCTAGCAGTATTGAAGAAAAGGAATTTCATTTTCTTGCCAGGAGGACCTAGATGAGAATAAAAATAGTGAATAGAAAGAAGATGTGATCCCCACTCAAGCATAGCAGTTGACGAGGAAGACGATTCATTAGTATTTTCCTGACAGGTAGGAGTATAAAAAATGGGAAAATAATCATTGGAAATATCGAGAATTTAAATCTGCATTGAACTGACGTACATTTTCGTATGATTTCACCACGGAAGTTGGAGGGTTTTACATGAAGTCAACTGATATATGAATTAAGCTTGAAGGAATATCATCGCTGACGCTTTCTCCCGAGTAAGAGGCTTAAAGTACAAAAGACGAACATGAAAAAAATATATTCGAAAGCTCCACCGGCACTGCACTGTCAATCGTTCTTTGTTCCGTGAATTAAGCGAAGTTGTCTACATTTTGTGGCAGATCACTGAGTTCTGAATTGAGAATGTTATAGGATTGTTAAGAATACAACTGGTCAGTGTTTTCAGCTAAAGATCAGTAAAGAAACTTTTGGCTAGACTCCAACCGTAAAAACAAGGACGGAGGCCAAAGAGCTCTTCGAGCTTTTGCCTGGGTTTCTATGTAATCCTCTATCTGCGAACGCAAAAATAGCAAGTTCATGGTTGAGCAACGCACGTATAGTTGTAAAGCACCGAGGAAGTTCACAGACTCCCAGCCGGGATAACGATCCCTCGTTTCGTGCTCCCCGCGTCAAATAAATTGAAAGAGACATGCCCACTCATAAAGCGAATGTCAACCACCAAGTATATCACATAAACTGATCAACTGCCAAACGACCTTAAGATGGCCAAAAAAATTTGTTCATTAACAAATAACCCAGATTAGAAAAAAAAGAGAATTACGCTGATATTTCATTGGTCACACGTTCACATCTGTTCTACTATTTTAAGAATACTATTGCAGTAATTTCAGAGAAACACGACAGTGTTTTGGTACTGCGAATTCTGAAATAATTCACTTAAAACCGGAATATACCTGCAATTGTAGTCTGTAGACTTATTAAATGTCGGTATTTTTTAAAAAAAGCGCTCAGTCTTAGCGGATAATTTTTGGGGAAAGGAATACGCGTGGTAAAGAAACGAAACCGCCTCCTGGCTAAAAGTACAGACTACAATAAGCAATTCGGTCCTTGGAAGCGCATAACAATGTTTTCACGCCGCTAACTCAAATGCATCTCGCTATCTGTTGACAACTAACAGAAAAAAAAAAATGGAGAATTTCTCCCTGAATAAAGTCGCGCTAAGCAGATTTAAATGATTATCAGAATATTTAACTTCCTGTTTAAACTAAATTCTCCACTCAAAGACAAACACCGCTCGGTAAAGGTTGTTTTTTCCTTGGAAAGCGTAATTCCCGACAGGTTGTCTCTGATTTCAATAAAGTTGTCATGGTAAAATGAAATTCTCAGAAAGACTTAAAAGGAATTATTCACATTTAAGCCTTCTAGCGCAAGTTAAAGTAGGAAATGTGGTTTCATCCCGTCGTTTCACTCCCTGACAGTAGACGGAATTACGATGGAAAAAATTGAAATAGAGAAAAACACTGATCGAATCTTCGAAAAATATCAAAATCATAGAGTGTAGTTTGCATGACTAATTTATTTCCATTCAGCTTTTTGCATTTTTAATGTTCTTCTAGACAACTCTCGATTAGGTGCAAGTTTCAGCAATTCTAGCTTCAAATCTATGCTGTAAAAAATAAAAAATCCAGAAAATTTTAAATCTCGTGAGAAAATACAACCAAAACTGACAATGCCAGGAAATTCATTAGGAGAATTGACTAAAGAAAAATGACTTGGGAAAGACTCATGACCAAAATTTCGAAAGGACATCTTCTTCCAATGGCAGAAATATCCTTAATATGACTATTCATGACTTAGATTAGACACTCGTACGCTCTGATGATACTATCATCTTGACTCAAACACACTTTCATTATCCATGCATATGCTATCTATGCATTGTAACTTTAATCATAGGTCAAATGAAACGCTTCAAAAAAACTTAAACTTCGCTTCCCCGGTTAGCCTTAATAAAATATAAATTATAAAAAAATAAATTAATAAAACAATTGTGGTCTTAAGCATTTTCTCTGTTTTCTTGAATGGGTTACAAAATTGTTATGTAAAAACAATCCCAAAATCTCATTAGAAATTCTCTTTACTCTCTGTCATATTTTTCTTTTGATGTTAGTTCTCAGAATTTGGTGTTGGATCAACTAATAATCCCCTTATTGATATTTTTCTTCATTCTCATCTCTTGTCCGTTTGATATTGTCGTGATACTTAGAGGAGAAATTCTTTCCTAGTCACTCACGGGAGTTAAAGGGTTAAGAGCCAGGTCCCATGGCCTGCGATAAAAGGCAGTAGAAAAAGGTTTCCACATAACTGAAATTCTCGGATTGCGCTAATGAAATGGTTTTCCGAGACAACTTACGCGAAATTCAGCTCACTTGCAATGATGTCACCCAACCTTTACTTGATTGTCAAAGATTCTCGATTTTAAAAAACTGACATGGTCGTTAAGATTTCAAGACCGAGCCCTGGATACAATTAGTTCACAAGTTCTCCTTAATCAGTACTAAGTACCAGCAACGGCTTCCAATTACTTGCATATTAATCAAGTCTTTTCTCAGAGCTATCGCTGATGGCAAAGCCCACCGACAAAAAATACTACTTAGGTAAAATATCACTTTTTTGCTATGAAATGTGCACTGGACCAAATGATTATTAAAAGACATTTAGCTATTCCAAAGTTCAGCAGATATGAAAGAAAAAAACTTTAATAGTTTTCCACAGGTCTTTCCACAATTCATAGAGAAACATTTTAAAAATTAATATTGTTAAAATAAAACAATCAACTGTTGACCAGAATTTGGAGAACCTTAAGATTCACTCGACCAACTTCCCAACTTTCTTTATAAAAGTGTGAAATAATTTAAACGCCAAACGCTGTTCAGCTAAACACATCATCAAGTAAAAATCGAAGAAGCATCCGTTAAATCAAATTTGGAAATAAAATAAAGGGTTGGAAGTTTTTTATGTTGGACAAAAAGATGCAATTAAACCTTCCCTTTGACGTACACGGTCTCTTAGTTCACAAACCACTTCCGTAGGTGACCAGCTAGGATGTAATTAATGGATAATAAAGATTCTTAGTTCAATATGAGATAATCTATTTTACAAAGGATGCTAATTTCACGATCGTTCGCTAGAATAACAATGGTAGCGGGTTGTCTAGCTAGCGAAACGTCGCATGGGCCTCGTTGACCCTCTTGAAATTGCACCGTTCATGTGTGACTTTACGCATGACCAAGTTTCTGTTCACATTTTTGTGCTTTTCTATTCGTTGTCCACATTTTTCAAGTTAAACAGCCGATCGAATTAAGTATTCGACAAAGGAAATTTGAACAAAGTGTCGATGCTTTACGAATGTTTATAACTTTGCAAAAAATTGGCATTACGGGAAGTTGTTACAATTGTGGTGAGTTGTCGGTCAACCAGTTCTGTGAAGAGTTACAGCTGATGTCTGTTTAGATCTCTTCAGACTGAATGCTCCACAATTCTGCCAACTTAGTTGACTTCACAGTTCATTTTCAAACAATTATTGCAATTGTCAAATTTATAGAATCACTTTTGCTGATGAATGCGTGAGTGAACAAAACCACAGGATTTATCAAATTACGCAACATTTCAAAACGTCATCTACTAATGCTGAGCGGAAATTGTATCTTTAAACAAAAGAATTTGAACTTTCACTCTTCTGTTTGGTTTCCTTAGATATACGTTGGAGCACAAGCGCGCGTGAAATAAAACGATGCTCTGTTCATTTGCTGGCAACGTTCACGGGACATGGAGAGCCTTTGTGGTTACTGGAACAATCTTGGGACTTTTAGGAGCTACTACATCACAAGGTAAACATAAAACAAGCAGTAGGTTTTAACTCGTCCACTTCAATTTGTGTTTAGGCATCTTCAAGTTGAATGCACTCTCAGTCCCCAAAATGTTCAGCATCATTGATCCAGGGTCTTGTTCAAATACAGAGCTTAATTTTCTTCATAAAATTGTCATTTTTGTGGTTTTGATTCTATCGATGTTAAGTTGGTGTCAATGTTTTGTTTACAGAATTCAATAACAGATGCTTCTAAGAAAAAAGCAAACAACCGACCAATATGTTATTGTAAACATTCTCTTTTCATTCTCGTACCCTTACCGATAAGTCTTACATTTCTCGAAAAAAATGTGAAGATTACTTATGCAGTTGTAAATGAAAACAGCTTCACATAACTTTAAGTCCTACAGAAAACCTAATCATAATAATAAAGAAAAGTTTTCCTTATCTCAGAAGGGGTGTTAGGATTCAATTTTGACTCCCAAGTTACATCTGGTAATCAATGATTGACGTAGATGCGCGCGTCAAAACAATATTTCAAAGCAAAGGTTATCCTTAATATCTTCCAATTTAAATTAATCAGATCACCCAGTTGTAAGCTTATAAACTAATAAGATAAAATGGAAAAACACTTCCTGCCTAATGAAAGGAAGTTCATTCTGGCGTCAGGTCAGTTATCTTTGAAAAAATTCTGGATCCAGACAGGTTAAGACACAAACTTATCGTTCAAAGTCAGAATGGAACTGTGTCTATTGGTCTGAACAGACTAGCCAGTTTCAAAACTCTTTTTTTTTTTTCGTTCTGTTGCTTTTTTGTTTAACCAAAAGAAAACATTTATAAACACAAAGTTTATAGTACCACTGAACTGCAGCCAAGAATGCGACAAGAGGCTTTTAATCAACAGAAAGCTATCTCCCAGTAATGCAACGGAAGTGTATTTTTTCTCTGTTTTTGGATCATGATAACCCTTCACTATTCAGAGGATTGCTGTTACAAACTAAGCTGGAAAATAGCTGTTCGTTATCGGGAGAACAGCGAAAGTTTCCCTCAAAACAAAAATCCATGGTGTTCATGGCCGGTTGAAGTAGAATACAGTGTACATTTGTGTGAAGTGTACATTTGTTGGCTCCTACAAACTAAATAATGATAAGTCTTATACAAACAAGCAATAAACAGAGTAATTGTTTTTATTTTTGGCGATAATGATCAAGCACGGAGGTTAAATATATGAATGCGTTCACGAAAAGTACATCAGCATCTACTAAGGAAAACAACTTCGTTCATTTTGCTAATTTTATCTTTTCAATGGTAGGAGGGGGGGGGGGGAAGCAAGTACAAGCGAAGATTGAACGTTAGAGTTTTTTTGCCGTGGGTTTGATTTTTCCAGTCATGGCCTGTTTCTTTCAACCATCATTATTATTATTGTTTATGAACTTTTTAACAAATCAACAACAATGAAAGGCTGACAGCAGCAATCGATCAGACGAATAGATGAATGGATCAAGACGGTAACTCATCTTGCGATGAATTCGCGCCGGCAGAGTCTTACCACAGCTCGCTGCGAGTAAGACCCCCTCAAGTACTTTGTTCATGATTTGTTGATGTAAGTCATTACGATCAAAACTAACTTGGATTAACATATCGTATGGGACTCCTGAATATCTATTCAAATGAGCTCCGTAGGAGTTAAAGTACATTTGAGAATATTTTCGTTTACTTTGTTTTGTTGGTGATGGAGGTGAATTTGGAAAATAGTGACATTCCACCCCCGGAACAGCTACACTTAACAAATTGCTTTGTACAAAAGGATAAAATCAATTATAGCTTTTTAAGCCTTTGAATGTGATTTAAGATGCCTTGAGTGACCACACTCCCTGGAGAGACTTTCAAAATACGGTTTGAGCAATAACACAGGAAGCAAATAGATTCGAGGTCTGTGGAAAGTAACTGAAGAATTCAAGGAGTAAGGAGCAAAGTTTGGAGTTTGCATCTTGAGTACAATATAGTAAAAAGTAAAAAAGTATTAGAATCGTTCAAAAACCGGATGGAAACTCACACGAAAAGTATTAAAATTCATTTGATATCAATAACTCATTAGCAAAAGTACACATTGTAAACATCCTACGAACTTGTACTCAACAAAAATGATCTGCGCAAACACTGATTGTAAGGTCTGTAGGCAACAAGATTGAATAACGGGTTTTTAATTAGATGTCATTCAATTAATTCTTCTCTTTGGCCCTTAAGAAACCAAACTATATATCCCCGCTGACAAAATATTCCACATTTCATCTCCTGCCGTCAGTGGATTGCAAATTTACATAATTATAAAAGAATGTGAACTGACGCTGTGCGCTATTCAGTTTGATGCATTGGATGTCATTTGAAGCCGAAGATGCAATAAAAAGATGGGATCTTGTTTTCTCGTGGCTCGCTCTACTGCAGGGAAGAATTCTGCTCTCCTTGTGAATCTCCTGGCAATTGTTGGAGTTGTTGCATCACAAGGTAGAATTAATGCACCATTAAGGTTTAAATTTCTTCATTTGTTTCTGTTTTGTTTCCGTGGTTTTGCGGTTCAACAAGATGTTTAACACTATTCAGTCTTCAAATGATGTGTGGGACTACAACCTCGATTGCTCCTTTTATCGACGTCTTACGATCATTAATGACTACTTCACGGTTTAGTTTGGGTAAATGTGTCGTTCAGTCCAAGCAACAGATGTTTCTCGAGCTTGTAATCCATATTTCTTTCTCTTCGTACGGCGTCCTAATCTCTCTCAGTAACTTTTAGTTATTACTCAAGGCATAAGCAAATGGTTATTTCAATATGAGTCTGTAAACAGGTTACATAATTGCGCTGACTTGAAAACTATCATTTCTTTTCACACTACACCTTTTAATTCTGGGCTAGCCTAGCATGGCCTACCCAACAATGACAAAACATGGCTTTTCAACCTTCAGCCCGAGTCACAAAAGATCTAAAGAAATTCCACTCAGAAATAGTTTCATGGTGTTCTCATGCTAAACGTAGGCGTTTAGGAACACCTTTAGTCGGCGCGTTTGACTTCTAGATAGTCAATTGTTGTCTCCTTCATGCCACTACAAATTACTCAACTTAAGTCGCTAATTAAATCATCAAAAGGCACATGCTTTTTATCATCAAACGCACATGTTCCCCCTGATTATATAATCATTTGATAAGCGAATTATCCAAGTCTCTTGAGGTATCATTACTTGATGTCATCATACTCAATACGTTGGTTGGTAAACCTGGAATTTCTGCTACGTTATGTTTTCCTGCTGTATGTCTAAAGTCACCTCACATTTTCCTTCTTAATCCAATATCGAACCTCCTTTTGTAGTTGATAGCATCGGATTAACAAGTCTGCCTGAGGGATATTCAAAAGTAACTAGGTGATCCCAGTGGCGTGGCGACACCAACGGCGCCAGAAGAAAGAACTTGGAAAAAAAAATGATGGGCCTTCGTGTTTTCGGTTGAAGGTTGAGTCCTAGTTGTTATGTTCACCGGGCTAAGCTAAACGTGCTAAACTAAGTCGTGAAATAACCTCGTACAATTTAAATTTCACAACATCCAGTTGAGTTAATGAAAGACTACCAAGGCAATATAAATTGTAGGATAAATTGGGAATGTGGTAAAAAAGTTGGAAAGAAAAACAGATTTCAAAGTCTCACCTACGATTAGTTTTGACATTCGACCGACAATAATTAAGTTTTTCTTTGGTGTTTTGTTCTCATTTCAATCGGTTCGAGAGCAATGATAACCCCAAAATAGAATAAAACAAAAGTTCGGTATAACTATAGAGATTTCTATCTACTGATAATTGAAAATAAGTTTCATGTAGAAAAACATTACTCCAGACAGTTTAAGTCCACATTCAAGATGCCATACCTTTTTTTCTTTTTTTTTGCCAACCAGCTTTTGTTAGAGATAACGATACCTACCCTTACTCTGATAACATGCTGTATCGAAGCAGACCGCATCTCGATATTAAAACCCATATTTAAGCGTCACAGAAAACTGCTCTTTAGTAGAAGACTTTGAAACAATACGCGCAGACCAAAATTAAACAGTTAAGAATAATCAACAAGAGGATGAAATTTGCCAGTGATGGCGAAGGCTGACAAGAATTTCATATGAAAACTTGGAAAAGTCGTCAAAAACCGTACCGTATAAGAACAAGGAAAATGAAAACAGATGAGAGCAGTCCGTAAAGGAAGGAAAATTACAAGAACTGAAAAGAATGGTTTCGAAGGGGTTCGTCATTTGCAATCTGTGTCTACATTCTCCATCGTTAACGATCCTCGTTGCCATTTTGAAAATTCTTACATCTTTGGAGTTGCTTTATAACAGCAAACAATAATTTCAATTTTTTTTTCTCCCTAAGGGGAGGCTATAATCGTTTTCTCTCAGTTGAGGGTTTTTTTTTCTCAATAACTAATATTGTTTTTCTTAAATTGCAACTTTGCTAAGACGTAAAAGCCACACGTACTTACAGAGAACGAGTGAACAGTGCTTCCTTGATAAGCGCAGTAAGACAGGCCTATACTTTGTACACTTTCAAAGCGCATAAAAAACCTGAAACTAAACTTATTTCAAAGTGTGTAAGAAATAACGTACAGGAGAGAAAATGATCTTCACAGGCTCTCTGCACTCACAGTTATTGCGGAAAAAGTCTGACAGAGTCTTTGGTTTCTTACATTATATCTGTGATTATTTACAGATTTCTTAGCAGGAAACAACGAACACACCGTAATTTCCCTCATTCGCAACACGTGGCCTCCTAACTCAGTGGATTGCAAAGTAGCATTCACCTAGAATCTGAGAGGCAAGGGTTCGGCCCCCGTTGAAGCCCGAATCACTTCAGACTTCATTTAAAGCAATGACTTTAATTGCGGTTCACCTGCGAATTTTTACCACATCAAAACATACGTGTACCTTTTTCAAACATAATGACAGCCGCAATGGTGTTGCTCATTATTATGATCTATCATGAGTCCTCCTTTGTTTGTATGTATGCAGGCTACTTCAAGGATGACCACGAACATAAGCTGATCAATTCCTTGTTCAAGAGTAATTACAGCAAAGAAGCTTTACCTGTAGTCAACAAATCAGAAGCAGTTCAGGTTACGTTTGACCTGGCATACAGTCAACTTATATATCTGGTAAGAGAATGGGTTGCAGTGGTGACTGCTTCACTAAAAAAAAAGTACTGAACATTACTATGTAAGTCATAGCGGATGTAAATGCAATTTACCTAATTTTTAACCCTTAAACCTCTAAGAGTACAGTGACCAGCATCTAATTTCTCCTTACAATATCACAACTGAATCACACATCAATGTAATGAAAATAAAGGAAATGATCACAAACTAAAGAAACTCTTGATTGTTAGACAAATTCTCCTTGTCAGCACATCAGTAAATGTACAGAGAGCAGTATGGAGAATATGTATACTGATGTTAGGGTGTAAAGGGTTAAAGGATTAGTTTTGAGAATATGCACACTGGTGTTAGGGTGCAAAGGGATAAGGAGAAAAGTGTGGCATGTGCAAAAAAACTGAGAATCCACGATATCTTAACTGAGTTTATTTGAACAAAACAACAGTTTTTGTTTCAATTGTCTGTTTTTTCTGATTTTCCTGCTGAGATTTGTCACAAAAGTACCCTTCTTTTACATCAATTCTTGCTATACTTTGAAATCTTTCACTAGCTCTGTTAGATAGTCATGTTGAAACACACACCAACAAAAAAATAAAAATAATTCTGTACCAGGTCTTTTTTTCCTCTACCCTGGCTAAATCCTGTATTGTTTAGGACCATAATTTGCATTCAGTAGATTATGAAAACCAATGAGCTTGGTTCTGTTTTTCTTTTGATTATAGGACAGCAAAAATCAAATACTCTCCAGCAAAGTGTGGTTACGACAGGTAAAGTAAAAAAATTTCACCAAAACTTAAACTTTTAGTAAATTTTTGGAACCAGGCTGTAAAAGCTACAGGTCAAAAAACCCTCAGCAGGAATATTACCCACAATAAAAATTAAAATTAAATATAAGCATTTTTTCAGAAGCTTCCCCAGTAACTTCTCCATACTTACCCATTAGCAATTAATTTAATTTGGACCTTTCTGTAACATTAAATAACTATGAGCATTGCCATTTGTCTTGAATGGAATACTTACTCATCCTTGGAGGAGTTGAAATACTACTGGTCCTTTTATGCAACAGAAACTGGGATATTAAACTCCAGCTGGATGGGCCATGTAGCTTGAGAGTGGACTTAACCTTAACTTCCAAACCTAAAAGTCCACCATAATTCAAAAAAGGAATTAATGATCTGCACATAATGTTACATATTCATGCAAAATCACCCACACCAGTTATTTCTTCACAGATGTGGACAAACCCATTCCTCAGATGGGACCCTGAGAAGCATGGTGGAATAGAATATATAAATGTTGATCCAAAATTAATATGGAAACCAGACATCATTCTATATAATAAGTAAGTAAAAATGTTTAAGGAAACATGGCATGAAAATGAGATAGAGGAAATTGAAAAGCTTTAGTTATTGGCAGATCTAGATTATGGGAATGTGCTTGAAGTTTAGACAATTTTAACCCTTTCCTCCCTAACATCAGTATGTATATTCTCCATACAACTCCCTATACATTTCCTAAGGTTCTGACAAGGAGAATTTGCTCAACAATCAAGAGCTTCTTTAGTTGGCAATGATCTTCTCTATTCTCATGACCTTATAACCTTAATGTTTGATTCAAGGGTGATATTATGAGGAGAAATTAGATGCTGGTCACTCTTAGGGATTAAAGGGTTAAGGAGTGCACTTTTGTTAACCTTTTCTGTCTCAAGATCTCATCAGCAGTATTCTCCTTACTGTCTGCCATACAACTATGCCCATGTTAATCTAGAGAATTTGCTGTTGCATTAACTAATAATTTCCTTATGGATATCCTTCTTTATTCCTATCTCCTGCCTGCTTGATATTGCACTAACACTGTGAGGAGAGCTTTTTTTCTTGGTCACTCGTGGTAGTTAACCCTTTCACTCCCAAGATCTTATTGGTAATTTTCCTTATTGACTGCTATAAAATTCTCATGACTTTAGCTCTGAGAATTTGTTACTGGATCAACCGATAATCCCCTAATTGATATTTCTTTTTATTCTTGTCACTTTTCTGCTTGAGATTATATAGATATTACAGAGAGAAATTCTGTCTTGGTCACTCATGAGAGTTTAAAGGTTAAAGGATTAGGCTATTGTGTTGTATACATGTAAATGGCTTTTCATTTACAGAATAATGTAAAAAATTTACTGGGTAACTCATTCATGAAATTCTGCGATATTCCGATGCATTCTAAAAATAATTAAATGTATACTTTTCTCCTCTTACAGCATTGGCTTTGGTGAAACAGGTGCAATATATAATTTTGACACAAAAGCAACCCTGAAGTACGATGGATACACACAATGGTATGCGCCAACAGAGATTCACAGCATCTGCAAAATTGACATCGGCTATTTCCCCTTTGACCATCAGAAATGTAAACTTAAATTTGGTTCCTGGACTTACACAGGTAATTTTAAAGGAAAGAAGTCCATCTTTTTGGGGATCTAAGGTCATGTAATGGTCTCCTGTAATAAAATTTTAGCCACCAGAAAAAAGAGAAGAGAAAAGAGAAAAGTAAATTTAGCAACAAATCAAAATATCATCTTGAAGAAATGTTTATCAAACTGTAACTTTGCCCCACAAACACTATGTAGTAAAATATTATAGCTTCCTGCATGATCGCTGAATGCTGGTCGCCAAATTGGCAAGTTTCCCTTTAAACTTTTTGCCAAAACTTTTTATCCATGGAAATCAAAATGATAAGAACACAGCTTAAGCGCTGTGAGATAAATAATGTTTTCGGCAGAAACAAGGTTAAAATAGTCACGCAATCACTTCACGGGGTCTCTTATCAGTGGGCTGTTACTTATTTAATCCGACCAAGACTTGAGTTCAGCGTCTGTGGTTATTGATGCAATAGGCCCTTTGCAGCTAGAGGTCACGTGCCTAGATACGCGTTAGCAACGCTGAATTGGAGAGCAAGCTCTCCAGCAAACACAAATTGTATAAGTCTCTTGAGCGTCACGCGTGTGTCTAGTTGAAAGGCGATTATTCTGAATTCAAGCGTTAAATATCTTTCCATCTCTCCAAATCCAGTAAGTTTAGCATAGAAATATAGCTTTGAGCACATCTTTGAGTCGGAAAGGTTGGTTTTCAGCTGGGATCGCGGCAAAAATATCAGCGTCAAGTCGACCACGAGTTACAAACATGGCTTCTCCGTCAGGTATGTAGAACAGAGCTTGTCTTCTTGTTGCACTTTTATAACGACGTTTGGACAATTAATACAGGTAAAAAGAAATAAAATACGGTAATTCACTACACTTTGAGGTTTAGAAGCCGTTTACTATCGAAAAAAATAGAATTTTGGCTGCTTATTCCCCTCAAAACTATGGTGTTTGAACCAACAAGCGTTGTTTTTAGTTGTAGATATCGATATGGACGAGTCAGTTGAACAATCCACCACGGGCAAAAAAAAGTCTGCATACCATTGCTGTGTTCCTCAATGTAATGGGGATTCAAGATACCACGAAGATCTGCATTTCCATCGCATTCCCGGTCGTTCCAAGGACGAAAAGCTGAGGAAGGAATGGCTCGTGAAAATCCGAAGAGACGAAGGTCCTGACTTCAAGGTATTTTATAGAGACATTCGATTTTCAAAGCATTTCACAAGGAATTGTTCGGTAAACTTATGTGTCTAATGGCTTATACTTTTCTCTATTTAGATAACTACTAGTACGAGAGTATGCTCAAGGCACTTTACCAAGGAAGATTATCTTCCACCGACCAAGTCTGGTAGCCAGCGACTGAAAAGAGGTGCTGTTCCATCGAATTTTAACTGGACTTCCTCCTCCAAAGCACGAAGAAAGATTATTCGACATGTCGACAGGTAATTTATCCTTCAGTTATATTTTAATGTGTCGGTGAGTTTATGGGGTTATAATGATAAGTCTAGACTATAATGGCATCTTTCTAATTTTTAAATACTGTATCAGTTTGGGATAAGTATTAACTGCTAATTTTAAAAGCATTTGTAACACCCTATAGAAGGGATGTATGAGTATGAAGTATATGTACAGATCTCAGGTTCTTCAATGTCTAAAATGATTTAATTGTTTTAAAATTTAGAATTATGTATAAAAGTGTGATATTTAATTTTTTTGGCTTTGTTCACAGAGATACTCAAACAGATGATAGTGACACCGATGGAGTGGAAAGTGAGGCAATGCAAAGCAGGGAAAGTGTGGAAACAGAGGTGCAGTCTCTGAAGGCTCAGCTGCTGGCCATGCAGGGAGAGCTTGAGGTGAGCAGAAAGGAAGCAGCTGTAGCTAAAGAAGAGCTAAGAAATGTCAAGGCTGAAGCTGCTCAACAATTAGAGGAGATAAAAAAGCAGGCAGCTTATAAAGCAATATTAAGTAAATTTGGCCTGGAGAGATTTGGTGTAGACAACGAGAGTATAAAATTTTACACTGGTTTCCCCTCAAATGAACATATTAAGTTTTTTTTTAGCTTTATTAAGCCCAGTGCTGAACTAATGACCTACTGTTATGCCTCTGGAGAGAGAGAAAACAGACCAGCCTCCAGAAATATGCTTCTAATAGATGAAATGTTTATGTTTCTTGTTCGGCTTAAACTAGGATTATTTGAGCAAGATCTTGCTGATAGGTTTGAAATTCATATATCCTCAGTCTCTAGAAAATTAGTAACCTGGTCCAATTTTTTGTATTTTTTTCTTGGAAGTCAGATTATCTGGCCCTCTAGGGCAGATGTAGATAGATGCATGCCTGAGGGTTTCAGAAAACTCTATCCTAGCACTAGAGTTATTTTAGACTGCACAGAGATTTTTGTGCAAACACCCACATCACTATTGTTACAGTCACAGCTATACTCATCCTATAAGAGCAACACAACTTTGAAAGGTCTTATTGGAATCACCCCTTGTGGAGCAATATGTTTTGTTTCCACTTTATACACTGGAGGGATTAGTGACAAGGAAATCACAAGATGTAGTGGTATTTTAGACCTCTTAGAAGCAGGAGACTCAGTCATGGCAGACAAGGGGTTTGATATAGGTAACATGCTACAGGAGTATAATGTTGAGTTAAACATCCCTCCTTTTCTGGAAAATCAAGGGCAGTTTTCAACTCAAGATGTACAAAAAACTAAAACTATTGCAAGCCTTAGAATACATGTAGAACGTGCCATCAGGAGGGTTAAGGAGTATCACTTCTTTGATTCCGATGTTCCTCTGTCAACTTTAGGTTCAGTTAACCAGCTATTTTCTATAGCCTGTCTTCTAACAAATTTTCAAGGACCTTTAATCTTATCTAAGTGACAACAGTGAAATGTAGTGCGTTCATTTGGATTAGAAGATAATTCAGAAAGATTAAGTTAAACTTTTAGAAAAAGCTTAAGTAGTCATAAAGAGTGTTTGTAAATTTGAATTGTTAATAAAAAGTTACAACTGGACATACTATTTCTGAATCAATTGTTCTTTAAATATAGTGTTAGACATTTTTGGTGTTTTTCTTTTAAGGTTGGTTAATCAGGGGATTACCATATATAATTAGTTCTTGAATTTGACTGTGATGAAGCAAGTAAATAATTAAACCTTGGCTAAAAAGAGCTAAAAAATACCAACAAGAAAGTTATAAGTCACATTTATGTTTCTGCAAAAAAAATGCTCTATGCATATCTTGGGTCAACTTCACCTCATCCTTCACCCTGACAATATCTGGTAAGCCCCTTTTTAAGAAAAGTTTTGAAATCTAAAATAACTATACACAAATTAGAGCAAATGTAGAATGTTTTTAAAGAACATTTATTGAAGTTAAACCTTTTCATAACTAATACAGTGTTACGAGTAAGTAAAGACTAGAGGCAAATCAGCTTAGATAGTAATTGAAAAAAAAATTGTCCACCTTATCTTTAGCTCCCTGAAAAAAAATTGGATCAAAAAGGATTCTTGTGCAGACAAACATGTCATCGTTCATGTAACTAAAAAAATCACACCAGTCTAGACCAGTGAGGCCCAACTGGCACTGGACCTGGTAATAATAAATGTCGTTCTTCTTCAGAGAATACTGGTTAATATTATCCTTAGTAAGATACCTCACATCATCAAATGAGGTTGCCTCCTCCTTCACAACTTTAACTTCCAGTAACCCAAAGGGGTTCTGGTCACTACCAAGGGCATCTAAATCATAAACTTTCCGGTCAGGGCTGCATCCTAACCATGGGCATTTTGGGTGTATAATTAATCCTGATGGAAATAGATTTACTCTGCCATTTTTTGCTACATTAGCATAGATTGTTGCTGCATGGGGTTCAAGTTCCACACCCCTCTTCATCGCTGGAGTTTGAACAAATCTTGTCGGGTTCAGCTGATTAACAAGGGTTTCAAAATTCGAAACTCGCCGGGCAACTGTACCAAACTTGCTTGCTGTGATCCGCTTCTTTCGCAGAAGATGCCATGTCTCGCTTGAACTTTGAGTAATTGTTTGTTCTTGTACCTTAAGAGAAATCTCACTTGTGACAGAAAGAGAGTCAAATAGGGCTTGTTGGTTTGCCTCCAGGCACACAGATACATTATTTTCAAATCTATCTTTTGCACTCTCGAGTGGTAATTCTGGAAATGCAGTGCAGGTAAAATCATTAATCACATAGTCTGAAGACATTTTTTGCTGATAAGAAATCAAACATCCTTTGGGGACATTTCCAAACTTGCTTGGGACAAATGAAACAGATCTCAGGTCCTGCTCAGAAGGAACAAGGGTTGCAAACAGAGGCTTTGGCTGTAGGCTGTTGAAGTGCTCTTTAGTCATTGTTCCATACATTGGTGATGGGGAGTACAAGTTGCATTTGATGTATTTGTTAAAGGATGCGCCTAGCTGAGGTTTCTTCACAAGCACATTTTGAATTTGCTTTGGTTCAATTTTTTTCCCCCTGGGCACACTCCAGCGCTGCTTCATGCTGGTGCATGTTAGATCATCTGGCAGAGTTCGATGCCCCAGTTGTTTGAGTAAAGCCAGATAATAGAGAAGCCCTATAACATGATGGCAATACCCTCCTGATCCAGCCACACAAGAGCACCTTCCAGACAAAGAACCGTCAGCCATGCTCGAAGAAACTTCCAAGGAATGAGGTGGCTCGTTCTTCTTCATGGAACGAAAACATTTCGATGCAATTTTCACCGCGTTGTTGGCCCGTATCACTATAACATAAAACATAAATGTAATATCCTGATAGAGAAAAACAACTAGGAAATACTCGATTTAATTACCTTTAATCTCGTGTAGATATCCAGGTTCTGCCATAAACTTATAAGCTTTCGCTGTGCTGGTGCATCCGGACATCTTTTTTGCATATTGGCCGACATCATCGAAGGTCAGCGAGGGAAATATTGAAATATCTTGGCTCTCCTCAGCTAAAAAAAAATATGAACACGAGTAACATTAGTCTAACGATTTGGGAAAAATGTTCAAATTGACATGATCACAAAATTAGGCGAGTAATATCTCTACAGTTATAGCGATGAATTAAACAACGCCTGTTAGTTCAAACACCATACTTTTGAGGGGAATAAGCAGCCAAAATTCTATGTTTTTCGATAGTAAACAGCTCCTAAACCTCAAAGTGTAGTGAATTACCGTAGATTCTTTCTGTTTACTTGTATTAATCGTCCAAACGTGGTTGTAAAAGTGCAACAAGAAGACAAGCTCTGTTCTACATACCTGACGGAGAAGCCATGTTTGTAACTCGTGGTCGACTTGACGCTGATATTTTTGCCGCGATCCCAGTTGAAAACCAACCTTTCCGACTCAAAGATGTGCTCAAAGCTATATTTCTATGCTAAACTTACTGGATTTGGAGAGATGGAAAGATATTTAAAGCTTGAATTTAGAATAATCGCCTTTCAACTAGACACACGCGTGACGCTCAAGAGACTTATACAATTTGTGTTTGCTGGAGAGCTTGCTCTCCAATTCAGCGTTGCTAACGCGTATCTAGGCACGTGACCTCTAGCTGCAAAGGGCCTATTGTTTTGGTCTCATTCTGCCCAGAATATTGAAGAATTTCCACGCTTGACTTCCCTAAAAATTATACCCATTAACTTATCACCCTGCAGTATTAGTACTGGATACTGTTGAACACCCTACTACAAATTCACTGACTTGTGAGACTGCTTCTAATAGATGCTTGAACATCCTACCGTCAGTTTATCGACGTTAACCTGTTCTTACTTTGAAGACATACCTTTTGGAAAAGCACGTCACCCATCATCGACGGTTTTTAAACACCATTTTAAAGACTCATCTCGATTTTTGAGGTGGCACGTTTTAAAGGGGCTCCCTTCATCGCTCATTCACTCAGGCTTGGAGAAAAACCTCGTCCACCATTTTGGCTTCGTGTCCTCTAAGTAGCAATATACACTGTTTCCGATAGAAATAAACGTGACCATTACAGAAACATTTCAAGTTCATGCCCCTTTCACATATAAAGGCTTAAGAGTAGATTGTTCCTATTTTTCGTCACCAAATTAAAGTTGATAATTTCAAAAATTTCAGCTCTAATGTTTTTCAATTTAGCGCGAGTGAAGAGTTCGATTCCAGTCTCTACTCTTCTGAGCTGGGAACTCACACACAAAACAGCTCCAAGTAACTTTATCTTGACTAATATTATTAATTATTTCACACTTCTGCAGATAATAAACTCAATCTTTCTGCTTCGGCCAACAAAGTCACTGCAGACCTCTCCAAGTACACGGTCAGTGGCGAGTGGGAGCTAGTTGAAGCACCTCTAAAGAGGAATGCCGTCAAGTATACTTGTTGTAAACATCCCTACATCGACATAACATACACGATACACGTCAAGAGAAGAGTTCTCTTCTACATGATGAATCTGATTGTCCCGTACATCGTACTTGCTGTCTTGACAGTTTTCTCCTTCTACCTACCACCAGAGTCTGGAGAACGAATGGGTCTGGTAATTACAATCCTACTAGGTCTGACCGTGTTCATGATGGTATTCACCGACAATGTGCCACGCACCTCGGAAGTAACCCCGCTGATCGGTAAATACTCGGTCACAGTCCTTGTTCAGGTCACTTTTGCGCTGCTAGTCACGTGCGGTGTTCTGAGAATTTATCACAAAGATCCCGAAAGGAAGATGCCTGCCTGGTTCCGCAAGCTGATCTTTGACATCTTGGGGCCAATGCTGCTAGCCACACCTTCTGATAAACGAAAAAAGTTGAAACAAGAAGACAAGAACAGGAGCTACTACATGTCGAAAGTACAGGGAAATCCCTACGAGATCCATCGTAGCCAAAACCATCTTGTTGTGTCAATTCCAAAGATCACAGGCATAAAGGATGGCGAGGGGGAAACCGAGCGCAAATGTTTTCACACCTCACCCATGGGATCCAATTTGTCGCTGACGCCCTCGGATGAGCGTATGGAAGAGATTGTGTACGGCATGCGCGCCATTGTATCTCATCTGAAAGACACTCAAGAGTCTGACGCAAAAGTCAATGACTGGCATCACGCAGCCGCAGTTCTAGACATTGCGTTTTTCTGGATAACGGCTATCACCATCTTAGGCTCAACCCTGGCCTTTTACTTTATGATTCCAAACTGACGGTGTGAAGTACATTGTGAAATCGCGAAAGGAGAACTGCACCTTTTTGACATATGATGTTCCACATAAAAGAAACACCTGAATGTCAAATAGAAATCAGGGACACTGGAACAATAATCAACAGGGGAGGGGAGGAAGGAAGTAGATGCCGGTTAAGCCTGTCCTGATTTTTTTCAGCGACTTTTGAGCAACTTTTTGCGTTTCTAGCAACTTCGAGTAATTTTTGCCTTTCTCAGCAATTTTGGAACAAAATACAAGTTTAGAGCATATATCAAGCGTGAAAAAAAATCAATGATTTATATAAAAGTATCAAGAAATTTAGGAAGCAACTTTTTAAATTTAGGTAGCAAACTTTTTGGATTTTTAGCAGTTTTTAGCACTCTTTCGGAATTCCAGTGAGCAACTTCTCAATATTTCACGAGCACAATCGGGACAGGCGTGGTGCCGGTGGCAGGGGTTTCTATGAAGGTCTAGTAACCGGAGCGAAAAGATTACCCCTAGACCCTAAGGTTTGGTCGTCCCTGGAAAACTACGTGTACCTAATCCTTCAGTAGTTAAAACAATTGTTAAATGCTAGTGAATTTTCATTTACGCGTAACTGCCCTTAATGAGGAAAGTTAAGGAGTTATTTCCACCAGAAATGACGAATTTTTTAGGTAAGTTCTTCTTCAAAAGGATGAAAACTGATGGGCGCATAAGTTAGGGTTGAAGTTTGAACGTTTCTCTTGTGAGAGTTATTTTATATAAAAAAAAAAAAATTTTAGGGCTGCTTATTCTCGAAGTTGGCTCGTAAACTTTTGTTCCTTGTGTCTGGTGCATCACAGCTATATCGAGTATCTATCTTTTAAGGCGGCTCCAAGTTTGGCAAATGGATTTTGGAGGTTATCAGAATTCCTTGTTTTGTGGAAATCACAATAATAAGGGTTTTTTGATAGTAATGCATCGCTTAATTTACCAGAGAGATGCAATCAGTTAATGTATTTAAATTTTTAGATTTTCTCCATTAGGGTTCTTCCTTAAGAAACAAAGGGCGAGCTGTTACACACTGTTAGGGAACCAAAAAGGGTTCCAAACTAAGATATCTATTTTGGATTTATTAGAATGGGAATTTATCCCGATATTTGATAGTTCTTTCTGTTTTTATCTCCAAAATTAGGGCCTCTCGAGGAGGGGGCGGGGGGGGGGGGGAAAGGGGGTGCTTGTGTTTTGGAGTGCTATGGTTTTTATACTCGAGTGGGAGGGAAAATGAAAAGCATCGTCTTAACATAAAAAATACACCAAAGTGCTCCTGCTCCCGCAAATTGTTTGAAAAAAGCCCTTTCTCTCCAAACCCTGAGACGCCCTGACAAAGGAGATGAAAATCGAGTGAGTATATTTTGTCTTGTAAAGTTTGACTAATAAAGTTGACATAATAAATATTCCAACGAGTTATACTTATGTGCAGGATTCAATAAACTGATAAGAATAAGTAGGGTGAAGTGAGAGAGAAAAAGAGAGAAAGAAAGCAGACTGAGAAGAAATGAATTCAAAAGTTGAAAAGTGGTCTGAGGTTAAAATGGGACACGCAACACCGACTACTTACAGCTCCCTCAGAGAAACTCTCAAGTATCAACAGCGTTAGAGAAAATGACAGCCATGAAAGAACAGATCTTGGATAGCTTGTTTTTAGTACGGGCGGTCATAAATCATCATTTAACCCACGTTTCTATTTTTCGCCATACCTTCACCTCTTTGGTAACTGACACGGAAAGGCTTTATTCCATTGAAAGGCATTTCTCTATAACACAATTTCTCGGTTCCAGGGATTTATTCCTTCCGCCCTCTCTCGTTTCAGGGTTGGGGGAGGGGGGAGGGGGGGCGAGGCGAGAGGAAGAGGGAAGATATGGGGAACAGGTGTTTTTGACGCTCAGAGTGGCTAAGAATGATGCAAAGCAGTTCTTCTAGGTACGAAAATACTGCTAACTAAATCGTACTTAGACAGAGATTAAAGATACATACCATTTGTACCATTCGAATTGAATGTGGGACCTTTCTCAGGCCTCATTAACGCAGTTACGCCACATAACTCTAACGAGGCAAATTTGGGTTGAGCAGTACTCATTACCAAAAATTCCGATTCGTTTTACGTCTCGAATACAACACCTTATCAAATGGAACTTTAAAAATGGCTCCCGAGAAGTATGGGATCGAAAACAAGATCTCAACTTTTGTCAGTTTAAATAAATCAAATTCCACGTGCCGATCTTTTGCTGATAAACAATATGTAACTGCACTTCGAAGCGAAGGTTTTTCTAACGTTTCTGGTTAATTATTCGAGTCACCCAGTAGCGCTCAAAATAACAAAATTGAAAACGGAGACTTAAAAACGCTCTTAGAAGTTTGGAATATTTATTAACGCCGGCTCTGCGTCTTAATGCAAATACAAAACGTTTTGAAATAGGGGGTTGGAATAAATTTTTCCATAAGCAGCTGCCGAAAAGGGCCCGTTACTTGCTGGGAGTTTTAACAGACGGCAGTAAGGAGTCATACATAAGCGGTGGTAGAACGCTCGTAGCCGTGGCTTTTATTGACACCCTTTTAAAAGATTGCTCATCAACGAAACTGCTATTTGAAATATTTTAGCCGGCAATTCGCCCTTTCAGATTGCCATCAAGCTTAGCTTTCTTACCGCTCTTGATCCGGTTGTAGTGTGACAGAAAGACACTCTAGAACTATCTGTTTACCATTGCAGAGATTTTTTTCTTTTTTCTAAATGAATGACAACGCCGTTCCTAAGTTCTTTGACGTAGAGAGGCCGTAAAAGAAGAGTCAAAAGGAAGTCATGGAAAACTTATAAAGCAAGTGACGTCAGCAGCTTCTTTGTCATGTCGATTTGAATTCTGGTCGATTCATCTTGTTAATTTAGGGTCCCTCTACTTGCTGAGTATAACTTTAAACTTTGAGCAACACGTCAAGGAAGTTCATTGTTCGTGCCTTTTGATTAAACGCACCTGGATTATTTGATTATTCTTTGGTGTTTCGGCTGTCAAATTTTTGTCTTGATTATTATTATCATTGTGATTACGCCTGAGGGAAGTAAGACCACAAAGGAGTTTCTTTAGCGTAATTGTTTGTGAGACAGCGAGCCAAACAAAAGAATGCCAGACTAGGTTGTTGAGAAGCTTATTGGCTGAAGGCTGATTTCGACCTGCTGTTACGGCGGTTTAAGAGAACAATCAGTTGAATTTTAAGGTATTTTGTTGCCAAATGGTGGTTAGTGCGTGTTTGTGTAAAACTGACGTTTGGAATTTCTGTCTCCGCTATACCAGCCATGATATATCGTAAAATGCTATTCTTTTTCGCCATAACATCTTCAATCCATGCAACATGTCGAGGTAAGTATAGATTGACCGAAATTCTTCACCAGGAATGTTTTTCTGACGTGAAGCCTGTTATCCGTTTGACGCTAGTTAATTAGAGATTGTTTTGAACTTCCACAATGACTGGTTGAAGAGATTGTGGCTACTCTAAATCCAGTTAAGGGTATTGCTGAGTTACACGACCCACCTTAAAACTTCCTGTTACTTAGAAATATATTTTGTCTCGATCAGCAAGTAATGTTTCCACTCAGTTCGACAAGTTGAATTTGCAAGGCCATTCCGCGACCGTTGGCTTTAGTACATTATTTTGACTACATACTACAAAAAATACTAATTATCTAGCGGTTATTACAAGCTGTTGCGTAATCAAACGCACTGCGAAATTAATAGGCCATAAAATAACTTGTAGTACGACATAGTTAATCTGAATCATACAGCAGTGCTATCAGAAATGCGTAAAGTTAGATTCTCGTGATTTGCTTTTTGTCATACACCTTTGAATAATGTTTATCTTTCGTATCCAGTCAAATTTTGATCACACCATTTGAAGTTTGTCGTATTTTGTCAACATGAATAACTGGGCCCCGTAAAGCTGTTCAGTTGCTATTATTTTGCAATCGCAAATGTGTATCTTAACTTTGCCTTACACGAAATTAACTTTAAACGCCAAGAGTGGGTCAGTTGCGAAGCTGAAAAACATATCGTTGACAATGAACTGTTCGTTTGGGCAAAATTCATAGCTAGTAAAGAAATGAACTGTCACATTGTATTGTTACAGTTATGCTATGGTGTTTTGTAGTCCAAGATTTTTTTTTTTTTTTATCAAGCTAGCAGCTTTTCCTTATCGGCCGGACTGCATTAAGCAAACGCCAAATCTGATTGACAATTCCACATACCACAATAATGATGAGTCTTGACTTTAAATTCAAGCTTACAAGTCTATGTAAAAGTACAAGTCTTCTGATCTGGAAAGCTCTCAACAAATTTCAATAAATGAAATAAAAATACACTAATGTTTTTAGAGTATCAGTGTTCAGCTCTCTGAGCAGAATGTTTTTCATGTATCAGTGTTCAGCTCTCTGTTTCCCCTGTCAGTTGCAACTTTCAAACAACTAAGACCTGTCCTATATGACATTTGTTTTCGTGGCTCAGCCAGGATTGTGAAAATCAAGCCATAAAATAACATACGCCTTACCCGTTGTCTCCAAATTATTTTCTGATAGAGTTAAACATAAACGCACTAAAGGCCGAACATAAACAACTAATAATAAAAGCTGATCTTAAGTGATAAAGAACAAAAGGCCATTTTTATAAAGGCACGCAAATCACATTTTATATCCTTCATTAGAATTTTTTTAACCTTTCAGTTTCGTTTCAATCCAGACTCGCTTATTTCGTATACCTTTGATAAGCGTGTTTTAACAATAGCCCTCTCATTTATATCGACGTGAGCTCTTACGACTCAAACCTCAAATAATCCTGTACCGAGCTGTTCATAAGAAGGTTGCCCAATTTCGTTTGTTTTCCAGCATTTCAAAAATAAGTTTTAAGTAAAATAACAGAAATCGATATTTGCTCCTCTATGCAGGCCAATATGAAGTTTCACAACTCGTCACAGGTAGCTCCAATAATCATTGCTTCCCTGTACGTGTTAAAAATGAACACCAAAGAATTAACTAAAGTAGTTAGCCGTGTCGTAACTATTTGAAATCTTTGTGGTTCATTCGGGAAAGACTGATTACTTTCACAGAATTTGCGGTGAGAAAAATGTATGTTTTGTGAACAATGTTTAAAACGTTTGCCTGCTGTTTGGAAATAAAACCCAGCAGGCAGGCTCATAAGGAAGGTCGCACACCACATATTTTTCTAGTGAGCTCATACCTCTCACTGGGAGAGCACGAAAGCCACGCAGGAATAAAAAGAACAATGCTAAAATTTCATATCTGTTCTTGATGAAGAGAAAAAAACCTGTAATATCTTTTTTTCTCTTCATGGCTTTAAGTTTAGACACTTTTAAACTGCAGAAAATTAATACCATAGTTGAGAGTTATTACCAACTTTTGGTATCTAGATTAACAAGTTGACGTATTTAGGCGATGGAATAACGCAAACGAATGTGCGTTTATATCAAAACCAACATGTAATAATATAAACGTTCTAATAAACCAATGGAAGGCAATTACAAAATCAACAATTCAATTTATTAAACAAACAAACAAACAAACAAAGGGATATGAATTGAACGAAAAAAGTCCAGAAGAATGCAGCTGAAAGGGAAATTTTTAAAGTCATTTTGATCGGAAAACAATCACAATCCAAAAGTGGAACAACAGCGATAGATGACCTATGTAGCTGCCCTACAAAGCCAGTGAAGATTGAATGGGTAACGAATGTATGGGCGTCGAGTACACGCGTGAGTGAGTGGGTGGGTGGGAGGCGTGGGTGGAGTTATAGGTAACAGTGAGCAAGAGAGTGATTAGGTGGGTGTGCGTGTGAGTAAGTGGGTGAGTGGGCAAGTGGGTGAGTGCGTGAGTGGGTGAGTGGGCAGGTTGAGTGGATGAGTGGGCAAGTGGGCGAATCGGCGTGTAGGCGAGTGGGCGAGTGGGAGTGTGGGCAAGTGGGTGTGCAACTGAGTGAGTAAATGGGTGGTTAGTTAGGTGGTTGAGGCAGTAAGTGGTTGGTTGAATGGATAGTTAAGCAGGTAAGTGAATGTGTGTGAGTAGGTTGAAGGGAGGAGGGGGGTTGGGTAAGAAGACGAGTGATAGAGTCAATGTGCAAGTTTTAACATCAGTGCTTTCCAATTTTTTCTATTTTTCAGGCCAGGCTCATCTCGATCCAGAACATCGCCTCATGAATGATCTGTTCGCAAATTACAGTAAAGAAGTGAGACCTGTCATCGACAAACAACAGCCAATTCCTGTCAACTTTGACATGATGTTCAGTCAACTTGTTGAATTGGTACGTGATGCAAAGCACATGAGTCTTTTATCGCCTAAAGAACTATTTTTGAGGAGCATTCAGATGGGATAACAGGCTTAGAATACTTACAACTCTCTATGCCCATTTTCATACGCATGCGTCCTACCGTGAGCACGATTACTTCGAGAGATTAATGTTTTGATTATTGTGTTAAGGGGAAAATACTTTGTGGTTCGATATAACAGCTAAAATCATTTAAGGGAGCTTCTGTTAAGGTTAAAAAATATGTACATCAACAAGATAGTGAGCATTTTTTAACGATGATGGGACGTTGTGGACGTACGACACATTATGACTTACAAAGACTGACATAAATGCAGCAGTTATTTTTTGCGGGTCATCAAATTTTTCCTTTATCCCCCCCCCCCCCCCCCCCCCCCCCCCCATCCTCTTAAACTTTGTAAAATTTAATTTGAAGTATTCTTTCCATGAAGCAGTAGAGTGTCGCAAAAGCAAAACCAGGGTAATCGCGATGACCAATCAGAAAAAAGAAAAGTTCCGAATAAGCAAATTTCCTAAAGTACCGGAAAAGGCCACGTCCCAAAAAGATTAGGATGGCTATTCAAATTTGAGGTATTTTTTATTTTCTTCATTATTAGAACGGACGGAGCCAGATAATGACCAGCAAGGTTTGGATTCGACAGGTAGGACAAAGCTTTACCTGTAATGTTTGCGCTTTCAAGGACATTCTCTATTGAATGCTCAAATCACGTCAACGCAAGTGTTCCTGTATCATCCTCGATTATCACCATATTTGTCAAATCATTACGCATTTATCAAAACAGTGAGAAAGGGGGTTAAAAGCCAGACTGACCGCTCCTAAAGTGCGACTGCTGCATGAGAAAAAGCCTTGTTGATTTTAGTTTATCTAACATGGAGCGACGTGAGCTCACTTGAGGGCGAGATCACACAGCTTGGACACGGCGTGACTCGGGAGAAATGGCAAGGGGGTGGTGTCGTGACTTTCGTAAATGTGCCAGTTCATTTCAATGCTAACGGGTTATTCATGAAAGTAGTCGTTTTCTTTTTATGTTTCAGTCTTGGGAAAATCCTTTTCTGAGGTGGAATCCTTCGGATTACGGTGGTGTAAAGTTCATCAACATTGACCCAATACTTGTTTGGAAACCTGACATTGTTCTTTACAACAGGTAAACAAGGTCTCCTTCGGCATCCATTGTGTCTTCATCTTTTGCTTGTCATAAGATTAATTTACCAGCCTAAAGTTACATAGATTCTGCTTTAAATGATGTTTGGCGAGGAGATGAACTTGGAGGTACCGAAAAACGGCTACATGATATCTGTAGCTAAATATGTAAGATGACAACATTCTTCTTTGCTGACATCAAATCTATGCCGAGATTTTTCTATTATTATTATTACTATTATTATTATTATTATTATTATTATTATTATTTTAGCATTCAGAGCGACAGTGGCGAGATGTACAAGTTCAATACCAAAGTCGTCATAAACTACAATGGTTCATGTCAGTGGTACGCCCCAACAGAAGTGAAAACAGTTTGCAAGATCGACATTACCTATTTTCCGTTTGACCAACAACGGTGCAGCATGGTTTTTGGTTCTTGGACCTACACGAGCTCTTCGTTAAACCTAATGCTTGATCGAAAAGAAGTCGATTTATCCAGCTACATTGTCAGCGGCGAATGGGACCTGATTTCTGCTGAGGCTATGCGTAATGTGGTGAAGTACACCTGCTGTCCAGATCCGTTCATTGACATCACCTACCATCTTGTGCTTCGCAGAAGAGTGCTCTTCTATCTCAACAATTTGCTCCTTCCGTGCGTCGCACTAGCGATTTTAACGGTGTTTGCGTTCTTCTTGCCAGTCGAATCCGGCGAGAGGATCTCACTAATTATCACAATTCTTCTGGGTTTGACTGTTTATACACTCATCTTCACTGAAAACATACCATCTACTTCGGAAGTCACTCCTCTTCTGACCAAGTACTCCACCACCATCATGGCTCTCCTGGGCATGTCATTGGTTGTTTCGTGTCTGGTTTTGTGGATTTACCACCGAGATCCTTCGACTGAAATGTCCAAAACTTTTGAATTCATTGTTTTTTCAGTTCTTTCTCGAATACTCAGGAAGCCTCGGCCGGAGGAAACTTCGAAAGATGGTCCAAAACGAAAGCATACTCCAGTAAGTGTAGTCGCCGACCGCTGGCCAACCTATTTTCCTGTACAGAGGCGCGCTGCCTCAGACAGCGGGAATTCTAGTCCCCAGTGCCGTTCACCGAACGGTTCTGTGCAAGAATTCGTTTTCCCCACGCAATTGGAGCGCAAGTTCGATCAAGTTATCGCCAAACTTGATGCAGTTGCGAACTCTTTAACAGTCGATCAAGGCGAAGAGGAAAAGAAAAAGAAATGGCAAATGGCTGCCCAAATCATTGACCAAATGTTCTTTTGGCTTTTTACGTTGATAGTCATCACAGTCACTCTTGTCATGTACTTCATGATTCCGAAATACTATTAGACCATGATATTCGAACCTAAGTGTTAGGTATCTAACCTTCACACTCTTTTATCAGTATGAATATTCTCCATACTGTTCTCTATACAGTAACTAAGGTACCGACGAGAAGAATTTGTTTGACAATCAAGAGCTTTTTTAGTTGATGGTCCTTTATGATCATGACATTAATGTCTGATTCAGGGATGATATTGTAAGGAGAAATTAGACAACAGTACCTGTTGTGTATCGGTAAGACCTGACCGTGAGTAGGGACTTGTCACCATGCACCTTCCGACGTCTAAATTGATCTTTGGGGTCAATATCAGTATCTGGGCAACTGCCCACCTACCCCTCCCCTAACCCAACATTAACCCTAACTTGTTATCAATTGACTGTTGTTGAGTTAGGGGAGGGGTAGGTGGGCAGTTGGCCAGATATTGATCCGATCTTTGTTTGACGAAAAAAAAAAGGAATCAAGATTTTCCACCGATGTAGCTTTGCTGAAAATTATACAGTTTTAGAGAAAGTCAACTTAGTGCTTGTAATTTCTACATTGTGCAACTCAGTGTGGTATAATCTCACTGTTATAGGCTTTAATACAATTTTCACAAGCCTGTGATACTTAAGTCGTAGGTTTTTCTTATTTCTTAGGGTAAAAAGCTATGGCAGAGTTACTATAACTTTAAGAAAGCTTTGCCATTTAGCCATTACATCTATTTTTGCTACTGTTTTTACTTTTTTATTGTAATTTAAAACAAGATGGCGAATGCTCGCCCTATTTCTTAGGCAAATGACTTGTCACAACTTGGCATCTTCTATATATTTAAACTTGTTGTGACTTTCTGGCTGCTTATTATCATAGAGCGTTGTTTGAGCCTCCTGCTCGCGGCTTGTGGCTGTTAGTAAAATTATTACTACCGCCTTTATGTTTCTGAAATCCGAGTAACATGACGTTTCTTAATGAAATAAGTACGCATAATTGATAGACCACTTAATTCTCTGTAATAAGTCTTACTATCTATTAGAGTCCAGACGGACTGCAGACACCTTGCACTGTTGACGTCTTGCACTGCAGATGTCGTTTCTCTTTTTTTGTCTAAAATGACGTGAAATAGGGCGCAAAGATTTGGTAACAACATGTTGTGCACAACAAAATGAAATTTGCTTGTTTCAAATAGGATGAAAGCCGTTTTATTTGTACACTTGCAGAACGGATGTTACTAAAACGAGGAATGGAGGTTGAGGAACGGACAACGGGAAGTAGGAAAGTGAAATGGCAAATTAAGTTGATGTTTTAGAAGCATCCCTTGCGGCACTTTTGTTTGTGTGCGCTTGATAATTTGTGTATGTTTGTCAGTGTGTCCACGTAACACAAATTTTGCAACAGTAATTGCCTGTTAAACCCGAAACGCAGCACAGTGAGTAATCAGGAACCCTTTGAGTGTGGCTGATTCTGAGGGCATATAGACTAAAATTAAGAAGCAAACAAACATTTTAAAACTAACAAAACAGGAAATCTTGAACTTTTATGAATGAAAATTAAAATTAATATTCTCATTACGTTGTCCGCCCAATTCAGATTCCAAGTGATAACTGCGCTCAATTTTGGTCTCCGCCTCCACTTAATAGAGTTAATTTCTCAGCAAATATGAGAGAAAAAACACGGGACTAGCATAAGTGTCCGCTCAATGCAAGAGTACGTCACCTTAACTTTCGCTGAATTCGGGTTTCACCCTAGGCCTCTTAAGAGGCATTGTCTATTTCATTTCAAAATGGTAAACTATCTTTCCTTGATTTTAGACCGATACAGCCCAAGATAAATGAATAAATAGATCAATGAGTGAATAATTCCCATACCTATACAAGAAAATACTTTTCCGATTCGCAATCACCTGATACTATGCCTAGTACTCTAGGGAAGGGGTAGGTATAACCGTTACTCATACCCAGGGGTCAATCTAAAGCAATGAATAACTTATGTTACCCTAAAGCGTAGAGTCAGTCAATAGACCTTCTGATTCTAGTGCCTGATTGTGAAAGAAGGTGCAATTAATTAGACATTAGTGGCCCCACCCTCTTTCCTTCTTCTTTTGGCGTTTTCCTCGAACTTTCCTCTTGCAGTTTTGTGTGAACTTTTCTTAACGCTCTGACCGTTTGAACTGGTTTCTGCAGATTTACGACAAAAGCCTTCTTCCATCCGAACTCTTCAGCCACAGACCGTACGTCTGATGGAACGATCACGAAGTGTTTTACGTAAAGCTTTTGCCATAAAATGTCACTGGCACAAGCGTTATACAAAGCTCGGCAAACCTGCAACGAGGTGACATACGTCAGATAGAATCAGCTATGAAGTATAACTATTTAAGGAAAATGCTACAGACTCTAAGCCGCAATATTTATTTAACCATACAAATGTGTATAAAGGTGTGGTTCAACTGAAAAAATGCACACAAATATATGAAAAGCATAACCAAACGAGTTACGAAAATTCGAATTCAACGAAACTCTTAAGGAAGAATGTAACTCGGACGCCATATCGCTGCATGAATACGAGCCCGCTGGTACACAGGGAAGAGCAGCGGTATAAGCCAATTTACAAAAGGAAAGTCGAAACTCTAAACGGGAACCCTCCCCCTCTCTTCCCCGCCCTTTCCCTCCTCCCCTCTCTTTTATAAAATCCCGGCTTCGCTCCTGTTCGTTATCTTTTAAATGTTTCTTCTTTATTTTATGCGAATCTGATGGCGGAGGCGAGATTTTGTTGCACAAATTAGGGACAAATTCATAAATTGGCTCCACAGCGTTGTGTGTTGCTAGTTTGAGTTCTATGCCTCTAGAACTTCAGGGTAAGTGTTTCTCGGCCCACGCGAAGATTTGAGACGAGTCGGGGAGGGATCAGCCGATGGGTCTAGCACTGCTAATGTGGGCCTGCAAGGATGTTTCTTTTCATCCTTTTTTTCGCCCACGAACGCAGCATTCTGATTGGTGAAAAATAACGAAACAACAGCTTCCGGACAAAAACGTGACGGTTTTTCCACCAGCCACGACCATGTTACGTACCGGATGCACCAAAACCAGAAATGACAGAAATAGGCGACCTCAATCGCCTGATTAATATGAATAACGACATTATCAAAACATCATCTAACACTTAAAACACACAAGACTAAATTAACCCGCCTTTCATTTTTTTCTTTCTTTCGTTTCATCAGGTGACAAAGTTAGCACATTATCAGTATTATGACAAATCAATCCTTTTTGTGAAAGTTAGGCAAGCATTGCAATATTGGACAACCATTGAGCATGAGTTACAACGCATCAATACAAGGCAAGTTTAATATCATTTTCCCAGCAATTATCTATTTCTACACAATTTTTTTTCCTGAAACTTAAGTTTTTACCATAGGCAGGGCATATTATAAGGATATGTTTAGAAAAGAAAACACGTATTGTACCGGTATACCTAAGGGCATTACCAAAATAGAATTTGACATGTAAATATCGTAATACTTTTAACAATGAATAACTCCCTGAATATCTACAAAGAAATATTATGAAGAGTTTTCAAAATATGGAGAAAGTCCTATCAACACAGGCCTACATCGGCGTGGTCGCACTACTACTATCCGAAACACGAAAATAGGTAAAAAGGAAATTTTTAGAGAACATGAGCGTTCAGTCATGTCCGTAATGGTTCCGCAATCTAAGATATTTTTGAACAATGAAGCATTTCTTTAAGGGAAAAACACGTAGCAAATTAGTTTCTATTTCCATTTGGACAATTGTCGGCTTCTATTTCATAATTAATGAGTTGTGTATTTCATGTACCTTGGATTGATGAAAAAAACTACAAATTTGCTTTTTGTTTTCGCGATGTTTCTTTTATTTGTTTATAGGCCGGCCAAATTCCTGATAAGATGGTTCCTGTTTTCTCACCATGGAAAAACAACTGGCAGAAAATTATTGAAAACTTAATTAAAATTTTTAATTGGTATGTGGTCATCGAAGTTGTGGAAAGCTGTCATATTTGTCGGCTGTCATCCACATATTTAAAACGCGGGCCTTACCCTAATGAGCGAAATTTCACATGGTTCATCTTTTTACACCGGCTGAATAGAAATTACAATTGTTTTCAGCAGCAAAAAGGTTTTGAAAAAAAACTATTAAATCGAGACCTCATTAATTATCCACCTAGACCTCATTTGCAACATTTGAGTTCGCATGTTTATTTGTTCGCTTTTTTTCAGAAAGAAGTTTTGAAAAATATCATTATTGTTATTAACGAGAATAAAACTCACTCCTGAAATAAGACGAAAGGTACGAACTTCATCGACATCCTAAAGTTACTAACAAGAAATAAACACACCACTGAAATGATATGAAATCCCAAACTTCGTCTTTTAATGCTTGCTTATACATATTATAAATATTAATTTCACGCTATCAGGGTTCTCTTAGATTGTTTTTCGGTGTCATGGGTACTACTGGAGGATACAAACCTCTCCCGCTTTGTTGATTCGATAGCTGTATTCATCTAAGAGAATGGTGTTTGATCGACCTAAATTTTACATAAATTGTTTCTGTCATACTTATTGGCTGCAAGTCTGTTTGTCTCACGTTGGCCTGGGTTGATACGACACTTTATTTCATGGTCACTATAATAATTTCAAGTATCTTACCTGCGCAAGCCGCATGATGTCACGAAGATCGAGTCGAACAAGAATTTCGGTCAGAATATCGCTTTTCAAATAAGGTAACCAGGTTTGCGTCACCATGGCGAGCACAATATTTAAAGTCTCGACCCCAAATACTCGCCGTATTTCTCCCTGAAGCCATGTACCTTTGGAATCATTAACGAACTCGTCCCACGAGTGAGTCGTTTCGCCCGGCAAGGACTTGTTACTTCTTAAAGTTATTCTCCACGAGCGCCAGATAATCGATTCTCTCGTCACAGTTAAATGAAAGAAGTCTTTGCTTGGTGCCTGTCCCACGCCTGAGGTCTCGAAAATCTTGTCTCTGATAGCTGTTTTCATGTCTTGACGAACGCTTAGTGATCTTATTTCGCCGCTTAGCGGAGCGGAGCGTCTCTTTACATATAGCTTTCAAGAGCTACAGTTCTTTGCTGAGAAAAGTTGAGCTGATGTCCGAAATTCTATATATTTCCTTATAGAACAAAAATATCAGCGGTACAAATATTCTGGTTTCAGCCCTGCCAGAGTTTTTCCCGTTTCATTACCGAAGAGGGCAAAAGTGTTCATGCCTTTTAAGAAAGCGTTATATCATAGAGAAGAAAACTCTGTTTGATTCGTTTGCGGTGAAATTAAGAGACAATAACAGGAAGTAATTACCACGTAAACTAAATGAGATAAAACTCTTAAAAATTGTGCAGTGTTTCGCCACAAAATAAAAATTTTCACACAATGCGAAAAGGTGTCTCGATCTCTTTACATCTCGACGTTGTTTTATTTCTTAATCTTTTGCTTATAAAGTAAAGTTTTATTTTCGCAACAGATGTCCTATGAATTATTGAAAATCCCACTCTTAAAATTTTCTTCACATCAACGATATTTTTAGAAGATATTGATGCTCATAGGGGGTCTGGGACTCGAAGAAATAGCGGGCTGAAAACTGATCGTAACTTTGAGGATGCATTGAAAACGATTTATGTTCCTATAACCATTTCAGACGAATAAAATCTCACTATAATCAATAGATGATGATATAAAGATCCGTCTCAACCGGAGTATACGCATTTTAAATAAAGCGGAGAGTTTGTCATACACTTCCTAGTTGACAGTAACCAATGCAACACCTTGTGCGTTTCCTCTAACAATCATTCAAAAGCTTTGTAAATTCGAATAATCTTGGTGTATCATTTATTTAGACTACAAGTAAACCCTTCTAATCGGCGAATCCTTCGCGCTAGTCGAAAAAAAAAAACAGCGCACGAAAATTAGGGACATCAACACTTGGAGCAGTCCATTTTGGCGAAATCCGTCGCGAAAGGAAAAAAAAAACAGAGGAAAAATGATTTTTTGACTCGAGCGACGGAATTCGTCGAAAAGGACCGACAGCTCGTAGTCTAAGGGACTACGAAATAACATCAATTTTTTTTCGCTCATGTTTTGGTCGACTCGCACGACGGACTTCTCCGAAACTGAGGGACACCTCATAGACCATCCATTTCTTCGATAAATAAAGATTATTTTCCCATTCCGCTACCATATTCGAGAAGGCTATACTGAAGGGGACAACACAATTGAATCTTGAAAGGAAACGTCGAAAAGTTTATTTTCGTGCCGGTGAGGCACTCACCCAAAAAGTCAAGCAGAGTTTATTTTTACGAAATTAACTTACGTCACCCTAAGGATCTTACGATCTAACTTGTTATCATTCGCTGAGACTTATTCCTGATGATCGAAAGGAAGCAGCAGTGGGCGAGAAATAAATACCGCTTACGATGTTCTGTAGAGAGTTCCTTCCCCATGACACATGAAAAATAATTGCACCGTTAGAATTCTTACGCAAAAAACAATATATCTGTGGCTACACACATTGCAAACTAACGAAATGTTGAAACATTAATATATATTTTTGACTTAAATCTTTATCAAGCTTTTGGCCTGGATATTTTCAACAAAAGAGGGTAGGTGCATGACTTTTCACGTCCTCTATTGAAAGAGGATCAAGATGACTCAACTGACAAGACAATTTTAGACTAGCCTTTGGCGCTGGTTATCCTAACATGGTATTATTATCAAAGGAATGGCGCAGCACGGGATAATCCTTTTTTTCCCTTTTGGGATGCCAAACAAATATTTTGTTGTTACCTTCACGCTTAAAAGGTTATGAAAAGGAAGCAGCGCAAAAAAATGCGAATTTCCTGAAGTAGGTTCCTTAAGGAATCTTTGCTTTGACCCCGAGTCAGCCGTATGTTATTTATAATTAATGAAGCCGGATTTTTTGAACATGTCTCATCGACTTGCGCACCGCTCAAGCCTACCAACAAGAAAAGCAGATCACACGCCCTTACCCCCTTTCTCCCTAAAAGTGATAAGCATACAATTACTCCCAACAGTACTGACCCTGAGTCAAACGTTAAGGTCGGGAGAATAGCGGAAACGATAACCAACCTAAGAAGCTTTGATTGTTGAACGAATTCTCTTCGTCAGTACCAAAGGAAATGAACGGAAAAAAGTATGGAGAACTTGCATACCGATGTTACGGTGTAAAGGGCTGAAAGGAGAAAAGCAAGCGACACTTTCACGTTCTTTTATCAACACAACCACGAGCCCATTACGTTAGTAATGGCTCCTGACAGAATGCGTTATCTATTTGGCTGTTTTTATTTTTAGCGGGTTTGTTGTTTTGTCAGGGTGTCACTGCAGTACTCGTCATTTAATTTCCCTTGACGCGGGGTCACTAGTGTAAAAGGTTTATGACGCGACGAACTTGGCATGTTCCGCTTTACGTAAATGAATATAAAACAAAATGACTTTACCCTGTGTGAAAGAAATCACGTGCAACGAAGCAGGCGTCACCAAGCTCTTCCCCGTCACGCATGACGTGACCCAAGAACTGACGTCATAAATTAATTTCAAAACAAAGGAAATCAAAAGATCAAGTACGTTGAGAGGTTTGTGGTGAATCAGTACTCAAACTACTACAGCTCCTTTAAGTAATCTTGAGGTTCGGTGTCATGACGTGATGAAAAATACATCCTCTAGGGTTCCTCAAAATAATGCAAGGAACCTCATCGATTCAGAATTTTCATACCAAATTACAGGATGCTAAACATATTTGACGCCTTTTTTTTTTCTTTTTGCTCGAGGCATTCATGAAATAGCAAACTTCGACGCGTTCGTATTGACTGAAAAAGGAAAACAATTATTTTTAATCAGCTCTGTCTGGAAGTGTTCATCTCGAGTGTACTTGAATAGAGATCGTTAAGTTAGTTTTGATAACAAGTTTCGTAATCGCAGATTCTTGTTTCAACTGCCAGAAGCAGTTATGAACCTTTAGTTATTATGAAATTATTCGGTTTCAAGACTTCTTTCGAACCCCTATCCCTGTCTGTTTGTTTGTTTTGTTTGGTTTAGTAATTTTCATTCGGTTTCTCGATGGTTCAAAATGTGGTATTCGCATCTAATGAAAACCTTACAACCTTCAACGTATTTCCGAAAGTTTGTTTGAAGGTGAAGATGATTTTTCTTAACTTTACAATAAACTCTTGGCCGACACGAAAGGAGATAACGAGGCTTGCACAAGGAATGCATTTACGGGAGACAGATTTAAGTCGATAATAAACTCGAACCTATATCCACGCTGAATTTCGAATCGACCGCCAGATGCGACGAGATCTGTTCCTTCTGTTATCTCTAGCTTCAGTTGTTCCAATACCTACAGAAACTAGTTAGAAAAAAATTTAACTCTCGTGTCTCCTTCGACAAGTTGTGTCGAAAACGGAAAGCTGACAAATGGATGTCTTTTCCGACAGAGGAATGTCTTTGGCATTGTTTCTGTACTCGATGGAAAGTGAGAGTCGAATATAATAGGCTAATTACCACTTTATTCTATGACTTGCATTCTTTTAATACCGGAGGCTAAATTCTGACAGTTTCCACAATTGTTCCCCAGAGTACCTTCAGTTTTTGTGTGGTTTCCGTCGGTGTTTTCGTTTTCTAAAAAACGAAAACCGCAGAGGTTCTTCGGAAGCTTTACACGTAACTCGTACCATTGTCAAGTCCTGTGCAAATGTGTGTGTCTAATAACTAGTCTAAAAATTACAATTTCGTAAACCCTTCCAATCAATAATCTTGTTATGTAATAGAGCTGATTTTGTCATGGAACCCTTCACAGATGAAGTGTTCTTCACAACAGTTTCGCTCAAAGCGAGAGCTTTTACAATGATGACGTGGAAGAATCCGAGTGTATTTTCGAAGCGCACTTTTCTCGTTTCGAGAGGTGATCGCAGAAGATGACAATTATGCAAATGACGTGAGTGTTTTGAAGACATTGAATGAGGTCACATAATCTCCTGACCACTTGACTGGACAGCAACGAAGGATGTTGTTTTGACACGTAGTCTTTTTCAAAAGCGCACAATACAACAAGAATGTAACATGCTTGTTTTAAAGACAGGAGTAGAAAAGGCGCTAAATAGAGAGTATTAGAACTTATCACATGCTAAACCCTTCTTTACGACCCTTAATCTTTCTCTCGCAATGCCTTTCAATAATTACGTAAATCTTGGATCGAACTCATCACGGACCTGAAACCTACGTAACGCAGGAACAAAAGAAAAACATTCAGTGTTCGTGTGACTTGAAATATCGATGAAACGTTCTCTTGTATGATACTTTACAGCAACCAATCGCCTGCCGAGAAAATCATATACAATTCCGGTATTTATAGAGAGCATGATAAAATGTTTAAAGAAAAATTTAAATCGTTTTCTTTGAGGAAACTGTTTTGAAATAACGTCATCAGCTTACTTGGCCTATCTTTTTATGATCTCAAATTCTGATGATTTCGCCCGCAAAATATGAAATACCTTTATTGTTATCTTGTTCTACAGTCGTGATGAGACAGTGAAGGCATTGATAAGCTCATCTGGCCACAAGATATGGAAGCAAGTGTTTTGCAATACAAAGGAAGGACTTGTTAATCGAGCAAATAAAAGAAGAAAGAAAATCCTAAGAAAAAGTTTACAATAAATATGCCACTGAAAAGAAACCCAGACAAGTATTCCGTGCTTGTCACGTAACTGGAAGTTTCCTAAAACTGCTTCAAAACGGATGATTAATTAAAAAGCCTTGAGGGCAAACTTAAAACGAGACTCGTGTGTAAAACGTGTTTGCGAGCAGAGAAACGTCCGATTCGAAACAAAACACCCCAACATCCTACAAGCTAAGTTGTCGGCAACATCAAAGTGAAGCGAATATTCTGCTCGTGAAATACCATCACTGTTGTGCAACAGCCAGATTACAATCTCTACATGGAGAACAATGACTAAATCTCTCAACACCGCGAATAGAATATCAATAACCTGGAATAAGACCACCGATACGGAGAGGGATATAAAGTTGAAGGTGTCATTGCTCGATCTAAGCGCATATTGTTAATCGGAGCGTACACTTCAGTCGTGTGATTTACACAAGCACGTTTTCAACCCGCGAATACCTGCTTTAAGTTCATTTCCTTATCGTTACCCCTCAACAGCAGGTAAATATTTGTCATCTCAGTTTCCATCTGCGTGGCTGCTGAAACTTTGGCTGCCCTCATCTGACCTTGTGGTAACTGTCTATTTATAGCTCTTTTGTCAATAGTGACAGGTATAAAGAGAGTTTGAATTTCGTGTTCAACAACTCAGACCACCGTTGAGAACATACACATCAGCGTAACGCCCGGAGTAAACCAGAAGAAATGACTCTGGTACTAAATAATAATATCGCCATTACAACCACGACGCCGTCTTTAACGAGACCTATTCCAAGTCCTGGGCCCTTCTCATCAATGAGTGGAAATCAACCTCGCAGGTGCTCAGAAGACCGAAGCATTTTTACTTATTCCAACGCGTATCCTATCCCACACTGTGTTCACAATAGTGGAAAATTCGGGGTACAAGACAAAGACTTTAATTCATCAGAATGCGACGTAGCTATTCTCGACGACGATGCGCTAACGTCTTTAATCCTCGAGATGGAATTAGAGCAACTTAACGCTTTACCCGAACTTCAAGTAGTTAATGCAGATTTGACAGACTGTACTATCAGGAGATGAAGCGGGAAGCAGCAAGCTTCAGAAAGCTATGGACATACCGAAATATTGGCTGAAAAGATAGCTAAAAGAGGAAATTAATTTATTCTTAGTCGAGATAATTCTTTGCAGTTCATGGATGTAACGAACTACGAAACGAAATGTGAGTTTCGTTCCCTGTCAAGCGATAGGAATTATAACGACTTACCTCAACATTGACATTGTTGTAAATATAATTTGTAAAATAATAAATGTGAACAGAATTTGCATGGCAGATCTGATAGTTTTCTGTGAAACATCGTGATTAACATGTTACAAACAAAACGCTACAAGGTAACAGGAGAGCAAACAAATCTAGTTGGAGGTGTGGTTATATTTTGGCTCGCATGCTCAGCGGACGGAGACAGGGGCCGCATCTGTTGACCTCGCTATTTTTGCGTTCCAGTGCATTCCGAACTATTTTTTCACACGATAAGAAGTGATTAAGATCAATATATCGCTGAAGTCGGGAGGAAGATCGATATCATCGCATGTTACGCTCAGCTTTTACGTGTCACACCACGCTCAAGTTTTAATACGGGGGCTTAATAAGCGACAAATTAAAAAAAAAAAAAAGGGCATCACGTTCTCAATTTGCTCGTCGACTATTTCGAAACTTCTGTCTCGTTCTTCGAGTAATCAAAACCAAACTTATGCTTCCTCTGAGTGCGATCAGCATATTCATTCGTCTGTGGTCTGAGGAACGAAATTTAAACTTCCTGTGCAGTACAAACATTACACGAGAAATAGATTTGCCTGTTTGACACAACCTTTGTCTTGAGGACGAGTTTTTGGCGCGTTTTTCTGATAATTGCCACGCGTGTTTCCTGAATGCTGTGTAAACAGGAATTTCTTGGCTGCAATGCACACAATTATAATATTTCTGACCTGACACCACGAAACAGAAAGAGTCTTGAGTAATCTGATTGAAATTTCAGCGAGTCGGATTACCTTTACTGCTGACTCACTTGGGATGCCCCCACTAAAATTCACGTGAGGCTATTTTCGAGAGTGTTCTTGGAGAAGCTTTCCTCTTTATTACTTACCACCCACATCAATTTAAAAGGGTGGCTGTCTTTCGCCGTCTAAAGCTGCAGTTAGTTCGCTTTTCTTTTAATCAACCAATGCTTTCTTACAGTATTCAACCCTAGCCCGAGGCAAAACTAAAAAAAGTTCAATGCCAGTGTGCAAAAAAAAAAAGGAAAAAATAAATTTATATATTTTTTAAACGACTCCTCTAATGTTTGGGTTAACTAGTTTCAGCAAACTTTCAGTTGGAAACATTTTATCATGTTTGAGCAATCAAAGATGTGGAATATTTCCAGGAGATCTGTGCAATCCCAGGGGAACGAGACGATAAGTAAAAAAAATTACTGCCGGACATTGACATAGGATCTGTTTGTATTTCCCTTTTGTTTTTTGCAAAAGTCAGTTTATCAGAAGAACTCGTGACCTCAAGATATCTAGACAAGACACATTTTTGCTTTAATACCCAAATAATCAAAGTAATGATATTCAACAATTTTAAACGAAACACCTCTGAGTTCTGTTTTCAAAACCGCAAGAACAATAGCCGGAAGCGGATATTTTCACATGTTCACACATGCTGGTTTTGATGCTTTCAAAGTCTTCTTGTTTTTTAAAAAAGCATTCTGAAATCATAAGATAACACACGCACACTGTCAAAAACAAAATCTAAAAAACTATGGCTATAAAGGTGGTCGTAAAAAATACAGAAAACCTTATACTTCGAAAGCTGTGTTTTACATAGTCTGTCCACAGTCACTTTTTTAATTCGACGCTTTTTCTGTTTGGTTTAGCGAGAAAGCGAGCGGAAAACAATAAAACGTTCGGTCTGTTTCCTCCTCCTACTTTCTATCTCGTGCTAACACGGTCGTTTTAATCCTCTTTAACGCTTATTGCACACAGGCTTTGAAAGATTATCCGTAAATAAAGGTCTGTAGGAAGACTGTTTTGGTAAGGTCAATGAACATTTTTTTGGAAAGGGGGTTTTGATCAAACCCTTACATTCCTTCTGGTACTGTCTGGGGTAGCAGACACCTTTATCCAGCCCTTTTTGTTTTAAGCATAAAGCTCCTGGAAGCGTGTGAAATTTAACAGCCGTAAGAGTCGTCCGCTCTTCTGGACAATACATTTGTACTTCAGTGTCTGGCGGATATGGTAATTTGTCAAAAATAGGAAGCTATAAACGTGTCCACAGCTACTGGTTAGTCTATCTGGATACAAAAAGAACAATCGTGAAAGCTGTATTGTGAAGTTCTTCTCTGAATAAAGTAAACATCCTACATCCGACGGAAGCTTTTGTAAGTCCTACATTATTCTTTCGATATTTCTTTGAAGTGAGCTGATATTATGAGCACAACTGTAGACTTCGTTCTTAAATGGCGGGTCTCCTTGCTTTTCTGTTTTTTTTTTTAATTTTTTTTTTTAAGTAACCTAGCCTTCTAACGTCAACAACATTTTGAAAAGAGTAAAATCGTCTCTTTAAAGCGAGGACAAGAAGGCTATTTAGTGTTCACCTGAAAGAAAAAAAAATCGTGTCCTTCATTTTTAAATAAACTCTTCAGCGGAGGCAGACACTTAATAATGCTTGTTCATAAAAGCTGCACTGAGCGCACAACTGCATGAGAAATTTGTATATCATTTTTATTTCATGCCGGATTAGGATTATATTGTTCACTTGAAAAAAAGTCGTTTCTGCTAATCCTTCCCGAAAAGACCAGATTTGAAACGTTGCCGATTTGTTCCGGTGACAAATCGAACTATCTAGCTTAACATAAATATCCGTCTACAGTTTCCTTCTGCGGCGATAAAGAATCAAACATCGTTGCGAAACCTACTAAGTCGTTTTTCTATGGATGTTGGCTTAGACGCGCTTAACACAGATTTAAGATTTCATAGAGGTAATCAGATCTTTCAAGCACCTTATCTGTGAATAGGGGTTCTTTTTTTCCCAGACTCTTGCGCTCAGCGCTACACTAACCCTCTCGCCCGAAACAGAAGAGAGAAAAAGCAGGCTATCTAACCTCTTATCAGGTCTAGCCGTAGTGTGCGTGTCTGGGGTGGTTTGTATTTTCCAGCCGATCAGTCCAAAGGAGGGGAGATCAGATATCTATGACGCTTTGTGCCGTAAATTTTCGCTCTTGTTCCACTTACTCTAAATATTAGTGTTCAATCTGAAGGTATACACGATTAAATATGACTAAGCTACTGGCAATACTTTTAATTCTATCGAATCGTTTTTTTTTTCTTTGTGAGTGTGTTCATTTACAACAATCATAAGGTCTATACCGCGACGCTAAGTAAAACAAACGTTCGAGAGTCTGGTGGTTCAATATTTTTCGTCATATTACAAATATTGGATGACTGAACGAGTTAGAGAAACCTGCTGAGAATGCACTAAGACAGCTATAACAGCTCCTGCAGAGCCGATTAAGAAAACAGAGAAATATAATAACCTTAAGGTATTTCAATGTTCAAACCGCATGCAACCTCATCCTTTTCGATATCACGGTTCAACTGGAGTTTTGTAGTTTCGGCTTTTTCAATTAATTCAAATTTGATCATGTTTTTCTAAGCTAATTTGTTATTATTCAAACTGCACTTTGAACAAGTTTTCTTTTACGCGAATAAAATATACAGGGCTATTACCCAAAATGTAAGTATGTAGTCATCAAAACAATGTGATTTCAGGCTGCACACTAATAGGATGTACAAATCGATGTATGACCTCGCTCTCTTCGCGTATACGATTAATACTTAAACTCAAAAAAAAAGAAAAGTAGCTGCCGTAATTTGCAATCCGAAACATTGCAGTGGTAATTTGTGATCGTTAATTGTTTCGAGGTTGTCGACGAATCTCTATAGAAATTTAATATAGTATTTCAAAGTGGACTCTAACACGCAGGGGAGAGGAAATTAAAACAAAAAGAAGTCCATCAGAATTGTGGGTGGTTGAACATTTTTATCTTGGCCATAATATTTGTAATTCCACGTATTTGTAATTATTTATGTTCCAAGCGCTCAGTTAGAGAAGCGGAACGCACAAGTAAACGGCGCTATAGTAGCGGAGGACAGCAAAGTCACTTACATATAGGTCTGAATTGGCAACTGGGAAAAACGCATAGGAGAGGAAGCATGAAAAGATTATTGTTTCGAGAAAACTGTTTCTTTTGGTTCGTTTTTTCGTTTTTCGCCTCTTGTGTGCAGTGTAAAGTAATGTGCTGACCTTTTTCTAACGGTTTTGGCGATCTCAAATTAGTACGTGGTCTGTATGTATTATTTAGATAAGGCTTACTGACTTAAGTGTCAGTGATATAGACAGATCGATTGGCAAGGAGGCTACTGCTATTTGATAAAGTAAAATCATTGCTAAACCAAGTTTTAGTTTTTGCAAGATTTAATTTGAAAATACCATATTTCACATCTATTCCAGAGTCAAATCATGTAGTAATTATACTAATTCCCCCAATCGCTCTGACGAAGGGCTACCGCTCGAAACGTCAGCTTTTTTACCCTTTACGGTGACCAATTTTACGTTTTCAACTCAGTTGTTAACACTAAATTACCTGCTATACTCTCCCACCGACGCAGCACTACGGTCTCTTTAGAAACTTACCCCCTTTATTTATTTGTCATTTATTTGCTGCGACCACTAACTCTTGCCTTAAAATTTTTCAATCCACAGATCTCACAGCAACGGATAAACCCACACACAACCCACAATTCCTCCAATCGCTCTGACGAAGGGCTAACGCTCGAAACGTCAGCTTTTTACCCTTTACGGTGGCCAATTTACGTTTTCAACTCAGTTGTTAACACTAAATTACCTGCTATAATCTCCCACCGACGCAGTACTACAGTTTCTTTAGAAACTTACCCCCTTTATTCATACTGCTATTTCAATCTGTTTTTTCGGAAGTGAAAGGGTTAAGCAAAAAGAAGATAGACACATGAAACTAATTAAGGAACTTGTAAAAATTTAGGCTAAATCTGACGAGAGGCAAAATACCTGACACGATCTTTCAAATTAAAAGGGCATGATCACAGCAGGAAACAATATTTGTACAGTCATTCGGCTTGGACAAAATTGAGCCAAGACAGAAGAAGAATCCGTATGCAAATGCCATGGAAATACAATGCTCCACCGCACCAATTCGTATTCATCAAGTGAGGGAGGGACAGGTAGTGAAGTAAAACACCAATAATGAGCGATAATACCAGAGTCGTATTACTTAACTCAGAATTTTTTCAGACTTAATGATTTTAAACCCCATAAAATCAAACATGACCATTATTTATAGGAAAATACTGCTGCTGATATGTTCGCCGCAGCCATCGAAAAAACCGAGTTGGAACAACGCATATTTTCTAGTGATGAACTTTCTGCCGAGGACAAGCTTTTGAATATTTCCTCATGAGGTTTCATAGCGTTTTTCATATCAGCATTCGCAGAAGAATATTTCGCCACCGGCCTCCATAAAGCAAGCGAAGGGACCGGAAAAAAGATATTTTCATTGTTTGTACAAACAACACCGGAAAATGCATGTCGCAATGTTTTTTTTAATTTCTCACAGCACGTTTTCGAAATCACAATTATAAAAGAAAGTACAAACACAACGTCTAAGAGACAAAGCTTTTTCTAGTTTGCTCCAGGCAAAAGCTCGGTAACAATCAACTGAATGTGGTGAACTGCACTCTCGGCTCTCGATATTATTGTAATTTCAAACTCTCTAGAAACACTTAATCACAAGGGTGTCCTCGGAAAATTCTTCTTTAAAACTATTTTTACGCTGAAGTCGTGAGATACTGGCCATACTTCTGTGAATTATTTGAATACCTTAGCCGAAGTCGACCTCATCGACGCAAAGAACCCCTTCTTGCGAATATATTATAAATTGTTGGTTTTCTAGGGAAACTAATAAAAAGGAAATTAGGATGTCAATGATTTGCCAACACCAAGAGAACCGGTACAACTAAACGATAACATGTTAACAAATTTTGGAGCTCAATATTTCATAACTCAAGTCTCATATTACACGAATTTCTTCAAGTTCTTCACACCAATTGGTTGAGTAGTTGACGAAGGCAAAATCGCGATAAAATCATCTCATCTACTCATACACAATAAATGTTTTCGAGGACTGATTAAAAACCTCTAAGTGATACATTGAGGTACTTGTGGAGCATACAGAGTGTTAAAAATATCAACGAAACCAAGGTCAGGTAGACTGGGCTGATGAACTTTTGTAAGAGAAAATAATGCCCCGTTCTTTTATCTAACTTTTATGACTGTACTACACTAAGGCCCCCTCCCTTTCGGAACAAAACAAAATAAAACAAAAAGCCAAAAAGAATTTAAAAAAACAAAAACGACGCAAAGTGATCGGAAGGTCGATCAAAATCGAGGATGCAAACTTCCCAACGTGCAAGGAAATAATAATAATAATACTAATATCAATAATAAAAATAATGACAATGGGAATTTAGCAGTAGATTTCCACAAGGTGGCTCTTCTTGTCGGCTGTTTCCAGGTTGAATTGGAATTGAAAAATTAATTTTTTTGTGGAGGAAAGACAACTGGAGGACCCGGAGAAAAACCCGCCAATCGAACCCAGGTCACCGCGGCGGGAGGCCAATGATGAAACGAAACCAATCTGAGCGCATTCCGGATAACTTTCGACAGATTTATTTTACATAAGTAACACACATTTTTACGTAATCATACTCACGCTGTGTGTAAATCTACACTAACTTAATTTATAAAAATTCTCTAAATTATATTTCATCTGTTATAGGTGAGAACTGAAACAATGAAGGTCAACATAGACCCCGCTATCTTTATACCATAAACGGCGAAATCAAATTCATTTAAAGAAGCAATATAAAGGAAACGATGAGAGCAGCCTGATAACTTTATCGTATGATAAATATTCAGTCGTACAACCGCTTGGCCTTTTCTGTAAAGGCAAACCTGATGAGATTTCCCAACAAGGTCAGTATTAAAATTTAATACCCATCACATCATAAATAGTAAAACCCTTCGTTTTATAAAAAGGCACATGTACGCTAAATTCTCATTTAATTAAAACTTAGGTTAAGACAAGCAGCGTTAAACCCAGGTAGGGCGCGTTTTAAATTTTTCTAACTCGTGGCAAGATGTAATCGCTTTTGTACTAAAACATCGGCGAAGAATCAACTACATAAACTGTAAATCAAGATAAAAAGCCGATCCTGACGTTTCAATGGCGGAAATTTGGAAACTGAGGTTATTTTCCTCACCTAACGTTTACACAAACTGAAGAAAAGTATGGAATAGTAACTAACTTGACAATTTCCGCCGACGAGATTACAGTGTATGAAACTACGGGTTCCCTAAGGATGGGGGATACTTTTTTTGCAATTTTGCCGATGAGAGGGGGCACTTATCTAGATTCACTAATAGTAACATGTTATTTCTTAAAGTAACATGTGTGTGGCTTTATAATTAACGCCACGCTAGCGTTTTAGTGGAGTACAACCTCCTTCGTATAGCCCAGTTCAATTCACTTTACTGCTAAGCAACGAAATTCTCAGGTCAAAACGCAAGGACTCCTAGAATCATCAAAAATACATCTACACTTCCAGCCCTATTCATGCACAAGTCGCAGTTACAGCTTGAAGTCTTAAAATTCAATATCCTCATTGCACTCGTGGGAGAAAGGACCACCTCGCACAGATAAAGACAAAAGGGAAAGGCACAAAGTTTGATTCCAAAGACATTTCTTTGTAAACCAGCTCTCTCTGTTATTCGACACGAATCATGCAACGTAACCTGGTGCCTGCAAGAAACACGCTAGCACGGTGACAAGAACCGAGGTCCCAAACACCCAAAGGGACAACTTATCCATCACCATGGCAGCAATACGCCATTCTTCCTTATGATTGTTCAGCCTGTCGTCAACAACCGAATTCTCCACAAGTGTGTCAACTCTTTCAAGAATTCTCTCCCCAATTTGGAGAACCGGATCCTGGAAACCGTCTATTTGGTTTAAAGAGATATCTGATGCATTTAGCATCGGTGACGAGAAACCGTTCGTCGCTGAAGGAATACGCCTATAATGGCTATCATAAGGGTTTTTGCTTTGACCGTTTGCCACAATGAGTGTGTTCGTGATCTTTCTACCAGATGTTTCCAAACCAGTTTGAATAGTTGCCTTGCGACCCGTATCTTTGCGAAGGTTTGAGTGTTCCTGGATGCGCTTAAGGTTTTCCATACTGATTCCGAAGAAGTGTCCCAGATGGCCGAGAACGTACTTCCGAACCCACGATGGCATCTCGATGACATCCGAATGGTAGTATTTCAAAATATAACAGGTCCAAACCAAGCCTATAGCCATTTCAACCATACCAGCCATGTAAAACTTGGCAATGAGTGGAACTACATCGGAAGACGGAGGAATCGTTTCCGCCACTACCAACATGAAAACTGTCATGGCAAGAAGGATGGTTATTGTGAGCGAAATACGTTCACCTGTGAAGAGCAAGGAAACAATAGTTAAACTTACACACTTGTACAATACTTCTGCTTAGTTGGCAAACGGAACACTTTGCACCGAGAATAAATACTTGCGTTAATATTCGGTTATTCTCCCATTAGGACGGTACTCGATACTCGCAGTGCCATGAATTAATTGCCTGACTTAGGGGGTAGGAGAGTCGGAGGAGTATAGTTTATCAGAATATAATTTACCTGATCCTACATAAGGCTTTACAGTATTCTAATGCCTCCCACCCCCCCCCCCCCCATTTGACAGTCAATTTTCTACAGTCCCCCCCCTAAAAAGAAGGCTGATTTTACCCTCCGTTCCCCTTGAAAACGATGGGACCCCCCCAAGAATCCTTCGCCCCCCTCCACCCAGGTTGTAAATTGTGACTGGTCTCCTAGAGAACCCCCTAATTTACTGTTCATCTGGCCTTCACTTTTCCCTCCGTATATATTTTTTAATAATTTTAGCTTAAAGAATTTTCTGTTACCCTCTGGTCGATAGTTTATTTCCACTCATATCACTGATGTTATTAAAAATTTATCAAAACTGTGAGGAGAAAGTCCTCTTTTGGTCACTCTTAAGTAAAAAGGCTCAACAGATCCAAGACTACCGTGTAAACATCTCAAATCACATCGAAGAAGCATCAAGAAGACCGACATATTATTGTGGAAAGTTTTAGAAATGCAACTCGATTCATGCAGTTACCTGATTCTGCGGGGAGGACGAAGGACACATTTATCAACACAGTGATTATGACCAGCGGTAATATCAAGTTCATCATATAGAACAACGAACGTCGCCGAATAATAATCGTGTACGTCACATCCGGGAAAGGCTCCTCGCAACAAAAGTACGTTACAACATTGCGTTTGGCAGGAGCACCGACCAACTTCCATTCGGCGCTCTCGATGTAATTCCCGAGGTCAGCCGAGTAACTTTCGTTCATGACATCTAGCCGAAAGCCGTCGTAAGTCCAAGAACCGAATTTCATTTTACAATTCTGAGTGTCGAATGGGAAATACTTGATGTCAATGCGGCATTTGCTCTTGAAGGTGACTGGAGAAAGCCAGACGTTTTTTCCTGAGTAATGGAGAACAACTCTGAAGTTCATACGGTCCAAGTTGCCACCAAAGCTAATGTCATCGTCAGCACTGTTAAAAAGACGGAGACAGTTTTGAACAAAGTTTGAATTGAACAGACGTGTATAAATTCATTTTCAGGGATATATGACAGTCATGTTGTTTAAAACCTTTTTTCCTGGCCAGTTCATGCACTTTTTATATGATCATGCAAAAGGTAGTACTTCTATGAGAAAACAAATCTTGAGCGCTAACTTAAAACAAGGCTTTTTCTTTACCATTTAAGAGAAATTTTGTGATGCCGTAGACAAAAGCAAGTAATGATGATATATTTTTCCCCGCCAACTCAACAAAAATCAATACGCAGAACTTGAGAGACAAAAAATCTTAATAATCTTAATAAGCAGTGATGCACCTATGGAAACCAATGAGGTCAGTTCGTGATCAGTGAATGATAACAGAAAGTACAATGTACAACAGCCCGTTGGGTTTAAATAGCTAGAATTAAATGAAGCGAGTGCTGTTCAACTAAATGCCGTGTGAACGTTGGCATAGGTTAGCCCAAGATAAAACTTACTTTTCATACAGAACAAGATCAGGGAGCCAAACATTCTTTGGAGCGACATTAATTGTTGTCAGTCCACCAAACTCACTACTGTTCCATGCTAACAGAGGATTATTCCATATCTAAAAACCAATAAACATCTTCAGTCAACTTCAAATGTTGATTATTCATGATGTCAGACTGTAGCACAACTATACATGGACAAAATATACTTACCAGGGATGTGATAGTGGCTTTGCCGCAAGCCTGTTACCTGTGCACCTGGCTTTTACTGTCAGATATTTCTAAGCGCGACGTTTGTGCTCGTGTTTACTTTCCATTTCTCTGGTCTCCAGACTGCACTATATATGCATATTACTACACTGATGCCCACGCTTAGCAAAATATTGATTTGTCATCTAATTCAACCACATTTTGCTTCCGTGCATGAACATACACTCTTGAAAGCCCTCCAGAATCGAAAAAAAAAGAGGAGGTGGGCAGGAATTGGAATTCTTTGAAGGACGCAACTTTAAAGTGATGTGTGCGTGCTGGCAACAATTCTCTAACGAATAACGGGCTCTATCATTTTTGTGCTATTGTTGTTGTTGCTGTGGAAATTTGCTAAGATCACAATTTAAACTCTTTCGCCGGCTAACATTCACCTCGAGCGTTTTTTAAGCAAAGATACAACATATGAAAGATTTTGGCGAGTCAGGGCTTACTCCTCGGAAGACAGAGCCCTCACTTGAAACAAATGGTCTCAGAAATAATCAAATTTATTTTCCTTGTTTAAAAGAGAAGAGCGCTAACCTGTCTCACCCACGCACTAGTTGTCAAAATTTGATTTTTTTCGTCCTGTAGAAAAAAAATACAAAGATATTGCATCTGAAATTTTAGATTCTAAGTACCGTGAGTGGGGGAGAAAGTTTTATTAACTTAAATCTAACTTCTCCTTAAAATGTCTCCCCTGAATCAAAAATTAAGATCACGAGAATAAAAGAAATGATCACCAACTAGGGAAGCTCTTGTTTGTTAAACAAATTCTCCTTGTCAGCCCCTTAGGTATGTATAGAGAACAGTATGGAGAATATGCATACTGATGTTAGGGTGTTTAGAGTCAGAGACTTTAAATTTACGTTTGTCACTGTGATTTGTTGAGTACGGGTAGGGGGGAGGGGTGGGGGATTTGGTCCTGTGTGTAGTATCCCTGAGCCCACCCTCTATGTGTGTGCTTTATATGCAAGCACAGTTGCGTACCCTCAGGGGTTTTATTGAAAACTAGTTACCTCGCCGCCTACAAGACTTCTTGGCGCCGCTTGTTTAGCTTGCAGGTAAGGTCTCGTGTACGGGTTTTGTTGCCCATCTCCGGACTGAGCCGCCCATTAAACCATAGGCAGCCGCTTACGGGAAAAGTTATTGACACCTCGCGTATTCCTGAGTAGAGCGTTTTTTTTTTTTTTTTTTTTTTTTAAGATAATCCTTGGGATACAGACGATGAACACATATGATACAGAAAACAATAAAAAAGCTGAAGATAATCCTTACCACATCGACAATCTGATTAAGTGTTAACCCAAATACAACAGTCACCGTATCTGAGTCGTTCACAACAGGTCTTTCATTCTTGTCATAATTGGAGTGAAACAGTTTCTTCAACAAAGCTCGTTCTTGTTCACTGGCCTGGGTGCCTGAAGTGAAACGAATGCAAAGATGTTGGGTAAACAAGTCCTATTTCAAATGATAAAGCGATGAGTCTAAAAATCTGATTATTTATTCATGCTTGCATGTTTAAAATGAATAAATAATGCAAAGCTTCGTTTAACACTCATGAGACTAAGCTGCCTTCTGCATATTCAAGTTCATCTAACAATACTGTAGCGACAAAAAGCAATACGTTGTGATCTATCCTTTTCCCAATTACACATCTTAAAAGTTCTGCTGTTATTAACAGCAGAGGCCTATCTTACATCTATGCAAATGAGTCTTTCTAGGGAGTAAAAATTGGGAAAATTGTCCCTTATTTCCTAAGGTATAAGAGTCTTTTCTGTTGCCCTCAAAATCGGTTTCATTTTTTTCACTTTTTGAAAACAAGTTTTTGTTTTAAAAACTAAATAACAAAGAGGAACAAAGCGAGGGGAAGCTAATAAATTCAACAAACCTTTAATGAAAAATGTCCCAGACAAAAACAGGATTAAAAGCTTCCGAATGCAGGGGTTCTCAGCTAAATTTTTTGGACGTATTTCAAAAGGGCTCTTTTGTCTTAATTGAAAATAATGTAGTTTTAATAAAATATTCAGCTATAAACCCAACAAACCTCTTATGAACACCGTCCCAGACAAAAACAGGATTAAAAGCTTCAGAATACAGGCAACATCCATCACCAAGGTACTAAGCAAAATCACAAGGTTGTGGCTCGGGGAGACACTTTCGCCTACAAGGCATAAAAATGTCATATAACATTAATTTACCCCTTTGATCGAGAAGGTGGCAAATTTACACATCTAGACCAAAATTTACCCTTCTCCTCACTTGTTAATGAACTGCTGCTTAACCATATTGTGTAATTTGTCGTGGCATATATAGGAAATTTTCAAACTGTTTGTTCATACCTCATCCAAGAAAATATCCCTCTGTAATTGCACAAATGAGTAGTGTTCTCTACCACTGGGTTTTAAATAGAGCAGAAAATCCCCATTTGAATTCTGTTCGCGTGCGACATTTAGACTGTGCAGAGGTTGATTGAAAATTAACGATCTACAAATGCAAACACTTTCGAAAAAAATACATCAATTCTGTAAAAAAACACCAGTTATTATCGTCAAACGCTTGCTGTTATTCATTGAAAGTGACGTCATTGTGAGACAAACGATTGCACTTCACGACAAGAAAAGTATAACTAGTTTTAGATTACGTCTAAAAGGAAGTGTATTCCTAATCTCTATGACAGATATGATGCAAAGACGCAAAACGTCTGCGTATTCATTTGGTTAATATTCTCTTCAATTTCCCGAATTTTCACCCCGCTTCCTGTTATTTTGCCTAAGGCGTCTTTGCATATATATCATCCAAATCTAAACCACGCTAAAGTTGTCTGAAATTCATCCGAAACTTTTAATAAACGTGAAAGATAAACTTGAAAGCACAACATTTTTAGTTTCATTAGCTTCGTATCTTTGCATGGAAAGGAAGTAATAAAGAGAAAAATAATTTGGTTTATTCAGCGCCTTTAGTCAGCTGGTTTCAGCCGGTGTACACATTTATTTGGTGACTCGCCACAGTAGAAAACAGCACCTAAACGTTTAACCTGCCACGAGACCAGTGTACGTTCATCACGTTAACCTTCATAGAAATCTCCAGGGGTGTGCAAAGTTTTGTCCCTCACAAAGTGGTAATTTATCACATAGTGGCAATTCGCTACTTGCTGGTTTCCCACGTAATGGGAAACAAATCCTAGACATTCAGGGGGGACACTCTATTAAATACTGCCGTATGTGAGTATGTACTGCAGGCCGTCTGAGGCTTTTCACCTATACATGAACATTTTCATATGGGCAGGAGAGAGTTGTTTTTTGAAAAATTACTCTCCAAGCATTAAACACGCAGTCCGAGATAAAATTAGAAAGAACTTCTGTTCTCCTCCTAGCAAAGTACCCCTTTCAATATATCAATATATCTCAATTTTCAAACTTCTTACCGGAACATGACGATCTAGATCTCGCTAAAAGATTTAAGTCTCCCCCCCTCCCCCGAAAAAAACTGGAATATCACTTTTAATTAGTTTTTTTTAACGATGGTTGCGGAAAGATGAGAGAAAGGCCACAACGTCAGCTTTGATGAGGTGAGCAAGGTACTCGCTAATTTACAACAACTTGAATGGTAGAAAATGTTGCCGAGTTGAAGAAAACGGTCAGCAAGTTGCAGTAATTACAAACGATTAGTAGGAGGTATAGTCTGCGAACATACGATTATTCACATGTTGATTAAAGCTGTGTCCATAACAAATAAAACTTGTTAGGGTTCCCGCAGTAACAATTTGAAACTTTCTATATCGAATTTTTAATTCGTTGTAGTTTATGTACAATATAAAAAAGACGCCCGGTGAACACTAACTACAAACACACCAAAATCAAGATTTTGCTGACTTGTTGCATACTAAAGAAAAGGCTTAATTAACAAAAGGAAAGTTTAAGAAGGATATTAGACAAAGGATAAAGTGCATAAAAAACAGCAAGAAACAATTGGGAAAAAAAAGAAAAACTGGGAGACTTACCGAGCTGGGAAATCTCACCTCTGAACAGAAATGAACGACGCAGGCAAGAGGATACAAGTGGAGAGCGTATCATAATCTCTCCTATTTGTGGAAAATAACAACTCCCTGCGTCTCTGATCTTTCCGCAGACCACAATCCCTTGCGCATGGCTAGGTATTTCTTTCAGATAAGATCTACCGCTACCTCGTTCGCCCACTTGAGTTCGAGGTGCACTCACCATGGCAACAATCATAGTTTTATCTTTAAAGCCAAGGTTAAATGTTGAATAAAAGGTTCAAACGTTGTTCTATGAACAAACGCGGGAAGGTCATAAGAGAGACAGTATTTCTACAGTAACGTTTTAGGATATCGAATTTTGGGAATGTTACATGTAAACTTTCCAACACCTTGATTTCACAAATTTCGAGATTAAAAGAAAAAAAGAAGTTTAGTTGACCAGAACAGTAAATATCGCGAATATGACATTTGGCAGATATTATGTAAATAGGCTGAGAGAGAACTGTTACCGTCAGATCCATATCTTCACATTCACTCAACAAATACTGGTGCGAACAAATCTTTCAAAAATGTATTTTTCTTCAACTCGAAGTTTGAACGATTTGAAGTGTACATGCATCATTGAGGTCATTTTAAAGGCGAACAATTTACGTAGAAGCATCATCTACTTGAATACAATATGAACCTTCTACGTTGTTATTGTTGCAGTTGAGTCTCATCGATACGATACGTTACTGTTTACGCAATTGTACTTAACGCAAACTATTTTACTTAATTCATACATGGACATGTGTAACTGAAAATTTCAAGGAAAATTGCGTTTCTCTCAAACACACAAAACTTCAGTAAATAAAATTCAAAAGGTTTCGCAAAATCGCGAAACTGTAAGTGTGGCGAGATATGCGCATCTTAAAATTCCGAAATAAAAGTGTTGCAAAATTTTATGCTAAAAGGTATTTAGTCTTCCATGTCCGCGGGAAGGGAACAAATTCACTTTCACTTCTAAACTCTGTAAAAATAAAATCCTTTTCAAGAAGGCTTCCTTGACCGTGCCATTGGATTTGAATTATTGTGATGATAATAGTTTGGGTCTTAATGAAACTGATTTGAAATTCTCATGATAAATTTTAACTCTTATCTTTTAATTGCCCTCTTTGTCTTACATAAACACATGTCTGTCCAAGAAAATTCTATTAAGTTAAGAAATGTCGAGACAGCGTTTATGACAATGAGGGTTGTGAAGGGCAAGGGAATCATGAATTAGCTATCAGTTAATCTGTATTACTTGAGAATAGCTTGGCATGTTTTTAAAGAAAACAGTTTTTCTTCTTCGTTGCTCAGGGTTACTAACTTCACGCTCGCAAATGGCGGAGGTGTTGTCTGTCGATGTAACCTTCGATTGACTCCACAAAATCTCTAGTTGGCTTTCAATGTTCCATGACGTAATGGTTTCACCTCTAACTGCATCTCAGACGAACTGTGCCGGCGGCTCATTATGGCACGAGAAACTACTCATGAAAATATCAACAAACAATCAACGTTTCGGATTTTCCACTTCATGAAACAAATTGTAAATGAAAACCAAACGCTAAGATTCAAAAACAATAGAAAAGTGTTGTTTCAATTTCCCATCGGTCGGCTTCCTTTTTTTTTTGTTTTTTTTAAACAATATTTGCACTATTTCTTACATTTATTTTAGGCAACGACTGCTCTTTGTATCCGAAAAATCACTCTGCCTCAGAAGAGATTTTTCCATAAAAACGTGTTCAGTTTACTTTTATCTACATTTTTGCTACAAAAAGTCTCAAACCATAAACGCCTTTTGATTTCAAGCCTCTAAGAGGAGACGAAAATACCAGAATTTAATTGCGACTCGTCATGAACCGGACCTAAGCCGGCTTCCCTGGGTAATTCTCCACAATCATGTTCAAATCTTACTCTCACAGTTCATTCATGAAATAAAAGTCTCAAAGTGCCCCGGAATTCTAAAATAATTATAAAAACAAATACGAACGCCCACTAAGAAGAGTATAACGGGGGGCGATTTTCGAAAGAAAGTGGGTTGCTACGTCAGATGCGGGTATAGCAAGATGATTTGGTTGTAATTTGGTTTTGTCTGCTGAGATGAAAAAGTAAATTAGCCACCGTAAAGGATTTGAAGTTTCGAGCGTGAAACCTTCTTCAGAGCGAAGAATAGTCTAATTTTACCAGAGCAACCTTTCGTAGTAAGAACTCTAGTGACGGGGATCTGCTGACTTTCACGTTGAGTCGATAGACAGCGGCGTAAAAGTATCAGTAAGGAGATGTAAAGTAAAGCGAACAAAAAAACAAGGATGAAGAACTTTCCGTCCGCAATAAACTTTCCTCGCTCTTTTATTCCTCGCTTCATTTCGCAGAAAATTACCGGTCCTATCTGGGCTGCTCTTTCATGTAATTGAACACGTGATGAACCAGTGACTGCGAATTACATGACCAGTTTACAATTACCAGCTACCAGAAGTTGGTAAGAGCTCTGCACCGGTTTCGCAGAGGCCATGAGCTCAAATCCCGTACAGGCCTGAATCTTTTACCGGCCTTATTTTTACTGCTGCTTAAGTAATGTTCATTACTGCGAAGATCGCTCTCATATTTAATTATTTTCCTTATTCCAATATTGTATGTCAATTCAACTAGTAATAATAAACCCCAGAGCGCTCAGGATAACCATGACAATATCGAAAACGACACGAATGGTTAACAACGCAAGAACTTAGTAAAGGATTGAACGGTTCTAAAAACTTCAATTTACAAATTATACACACTAAGAAGGTCCACTGTAAATCTCTCAAACCTTTACGTCGTAAAAGCAGCAAAAAAATATATACTAATCCCTAAAGGCGCACAGAAGTAAACCTGCTGTCAATAATTTACATAATGAACTTTGATTTCAAATCTTTCCTAAACTCCAAAATGTATTGCACCTGATGAGCCTAAAAGAAATTAGATCTGCACTACACCCGATATGCCTAAAGAAATTAATTCTACACTTAGAACCGACAGACACCTGGCAATTTTGTTCTCAGTGAGGCAAAAGCAACAAAAAGTAATCGTTTTTCAGACGGGGTGTCACTTTGATTAGATTGTTTTTGTACACGCCATTGTAATTAAGCGAATCTCATTCAACAAGAACTCTTAAACTCGAATTTCGTTTTTGTGCAAATCTTGCATTGGGTAAATACTGCGTATGGCTGACTCGCAGTTTTGGATCCAGCTTCTTTGATAAATAACTTGTTAAAACAACGTCAGTTTGTTTTATGTCTCTCGCCCAAAATTCCACAAAGCACAGCATATTACGTACATTATTTACACCAGAGGCGAAGTTTCCTTTAGACGTTTAACGAGATGAGAAAAACACAATTTTTTGATTACTAGCATGTTAATCAATTTACTCTCGTCCTTTGTCATTTACGGGACGCGAA